CTTTAAAGACAGTCATTGATTTGGCTGTAAATTGTAGCACCCCACTGATATTGTGGAGTCCATTAGTATCCACTTCAGTGACAGGTTATAGGTTTTTCAGTTACTCGCCTCTGCTGCAAATAAAACAGGGTTCAAGAGTCCGTCCTCCTACAATGTGCCGGCGTGGGGTTGATTCCTTTCCATCATTATCGGGAGCGGACAGGGTCTGGCTTAATTAAGGCACATTTCCAAATTCAGCAGCCTGCCTCCTTTATGCCAATCCTCTGAGCAAGCACTGCAGGAGGAAACTCAGCAGCCAGCGTTTATTAAGAATTAACTAAGCATTAGGGTTCTAAAACACCGGAAAATAAATGTAGGATGATAGTGACTATAAAGTATTACGGTGTTGCTTCCCACACTAAACATTGTAATCAAATAATGATTATCATGTTATGCTGCTGCTTTTTTTTCGGTATGCAGACAGGAGACTTACAGACTTCAGGTATTGCGTTGTCTCCCCCCTCCTCCCATCTCATCTTTCCCTACAAATAAGCTCTGTATTGTTTCTGTCCCAACCCCCAACCTACGATTATAGTTATGATTACTGGTATGCTGATGTTCTGTTAAAAGCAGACCGCGGCATTTCATGGGTAGCGGCTGTAATATAAACCGGACACGATGCTGCTTTAATAATTAAGAGTCAGTTAAGAGTGTGTGTGTGTGTGTGTGTCCCGTGTGCAGGTCTGTGTCTTTGTCTTCACGCCTCCGTAGACTCTACAGCAGGAGGGATTTTGAGCTGTCAGCTGAAAATGCTGATGTTGGTGTTTTGGTAAAACCAGTCTAGACATTTCCACACGCCTTACCAAAGCTTCCCCCGAGATCCCAGACAAAAGGATATTGTGGTTGGGGTCCTCATGAATATGTAAGGTTACATTGAACATTCGATGATCTGTTCAAATCTTTTAAACTTCTTCTGCCTTTAGTTACTTCACTTCTCTTTTGATATCAATATTGTCTGTATTTGTCTAGCTTTCTCCTCACTAATACTGCAAAGATAAACGGCTACTATTGAAGTCTTATGTTTTGTTTCATCAGGATTACACCTTCCTGTTATACGTTTTAGCAGTTTAGAAAAAGATAACCATGTACAGTGACACAGAAAGCAAATGGAAAAAACCTTTTCACAGATTCCACACAATCAAAAGATGCCGCTAAAGGTAAAAAACGTTTCTCCTTGCAGCCTCCTTCTGCAGGTGTCAAGATGCTTTGCGAGATGCTTCTTGCATAAACTTGTGTCTCGCATCTCTCCATGTGCTCTAGCTCACAGCGTCAACACGCAGATGTTTGAATAACGGTAAATCGACGCACGGTGAAGCTCTATTAACCGTATGACTTCTTAAAACCGTAGACTGACTTTGAAAGTTGCTGCATTGGCGCAGTGGCAAGCTTCTTAGAACTATTTTAGCTTTCAGACAGGCATTACTTTTTGTTTTGATGGTTTTATTTTATTTTACTCAGTCACTCTTTTTTATTTCTCACTTTGTGTGCACTTTTTTGTGTGCAATTTTTTTCTCAGGCAGTTTCATTCGCCTCAAATGAGACACGTAAAGCGAGAGAGGCCGATTGGATATAAGATTTGTCTTTATTGACTGGTTTCCCTATAATCTTTCCACGGTGTCGCCGTTGCTTCTCTACGAGCGACTGGAGGAATTCCAGAAAGCACTAAGCCATTTTCATTGAGCCTTACAGGCACTTAAACCAGCAACTGACCCAGATAATCAAGAGGCAACGCAGCTTGCCTCCTTATGAAGCGCAGTGTCAGCTTTTAGTAACAAATATGAAGTTTGGTAGTTTTGCTCGAGCTTTTTAAGACCTCTTTTCATCACAGCTCCTCAGCACAGCTCTGCTCTCGTTTGCAAACAGGGCCAGCGGCGTGTGTCGGCGATGGAGCCGCCTGCCGAGTGACAGACGTGACGGCGCTCTGCCGTTCGGTGTGTGTACTCTGCCTTTCACGCGAGAAATCTACCTACATTGTCGGGTTTGATTGTCTGGATCTTTGTGTTTACACACGAGCAGATCTCCTGTCCCTGTAAGTCGAGGCTTTGCTATGCACCGGGGTTCTCTCTGAGAAGCTGTGTTACAGCGTTCATTGTATTCATAATCTGACGACCCCAAAAGGATTCAACTAGTCCTCTTATAGCGAAAGCCATTGAGGTTTTGTTTTATCTACCGCTTCAGGAAAGGCCGCTTCATTTGTATAGCACATTTCAACAACAAGGCATCTTCAAAGTGCTTCACATAACACCATTAAACATCAAGCAAAATAAAAGTAAATTCAAAAACAGAATTAAAACAAACATTCAATTTATTTTGATTATCCTAAAATTATAATCTGTAATCTGTACACATGCGACATCCTCTGTTCCGAAGCCCTGACACAAGCACAAGTGTGATCCACTTTCTTTCTTAGTGACGACTCGAGCTGCAGCGTTCTGAATCCGCTGCAGTCCATTCTGTTGTCTGCTTGCATCGATTCAAAGGGAGCACAGGGACATGGCTTCGTTAGGCCCAGGCTTTCCCGACAGACGTTTATGCGGACCCCCTTCCTCCTGCTACTGCGTTTGTCTGCTTCGCCAACCCAGCCAGGCCCCCGTGAGAACCGCCATGCCGCCAGAGCGGAGCGCGGGCTGAATGCTAATACACTGACCTTGAGTGGACCTCACCACCTGCAGCCCCTTTTTCTGTGGCAGCAAGACAAGCAAGGAAGCGGGCTCTGTCTCTTTTTTTTTTCACCGCAGGAAGCCGGCATTACTTCATAGCTAAAGAACAGCCTCTGGAGTATTTTGGTCCAATTGCTAGGGAACAATTACAAGACATGGACGCACTCCAAGATCATTAGAATCAGAATGGAGGCAGAGTTCGCTCTGGCCGGACTTCCTCTGAGGTGATCAATCGGGCTTTATCATTGTCGTCCTGAGAGGAACTGATGGCAAAATAACTCTCAAAGACACAAAGGATCAATTGAGAGGCCAACACTTTCTGAGCCGTTAAGTGTTTGCTGTGAAGAGAAGGCAACATAACACAGCTTCAATCTGTAGAAGTACTTTGGGCTGCAGCTATTTCTGCCAGGTTGTATCTCAGCATCACCTCAATGAAACTTAGCGGTGGCGTGTGTCCTTATGCCTTTGGCTTGGTATCGGTTACTTGAATAGTAGCATCCCGTGGCTAACGACATGCTATATAAGCTAAAACTGAATGACAGAGGTATGAAGTAAGTATGAAGCCAAACGTGTGAATATCCCACAATGCAATAGCATCAACATTACCCACAGTGGCTCTATAATGTATCAATAATAATAATAATCAATAATGCTTCAATTTAAGGGTAAGTGGTATTTTCACATTCCAGATGCAGATTTTAACACACTGTAGTGTGGGGGGTAACAGATAACAGACTTTTGGTTTTCTGAGCCTCTATTTTTTCAGGACAAATGAACACGTTGCTGCTTTTAAGGTAAAACGTCTCCAAGTATTTAATCCATCCCGTTTCCTTGACTCTTCACAAGTACAACAATTGTATAATGCCATTTGCAAGGGGGACTTGCTGGGTCTCTGCGTGTCGATTGTAAATGTTGTTGTTTGTTGGGGCTTTTTTGTCTACGGTCAAATATTGAGGAAATTGTTGCTTTGACAACACTTTTGCTACAAATTTAGATAGGACTGGAAATGTACTGAATCACACACTTATTTTATGAAAAAGACGTGAGTCCAGCGATGATAAAGGGATTTTTGCAATCATATGCAATTTATTTTGTAATTATTGCTTCCACTTCTACGGTTTTAATTATTTTTCTTTTGCTAATTATTTTCCTCCTCGGGTCGTGGAGGTTAATGATTTCAGTCCCAAACGTTGTGTCCGCTACTCTGTGTGGTCTCTGAAAACATATGGTCTTTTCTGGCACTACTTTGTTATTATTATGATATTGACACAGCGTGTCTGAGTTACCGTCACTCTGGAGCCTCAGCTGCTGGTTCAGTCAGCAGCTGGTCATTAGCGTGGACTTAAGAAACCAGTACAGCAGCGTCGAAATAAAACCCTCCAGGGAGCCGAATGATCGCCGGTCATCTACAGTTATCAAAACTACATAATCTGAGATGACGCTGGCGTGGTTTTTATGTCCATGTAATCAAGATGTGCAATGTAAGGTTTTCATGTAATTGCAGCCAAAGGCTATTTTACTTTAGTAGCGAGATCCCCCGGTGTATTAAGAGAGGTGTGTGTTCTACCACCGTCTGGTCTGGACCGCCATCTGTCTGTGGGTACTTCAGTGGCTGTGGGCGTTCACTCTGAGGACACGCCCTCACGTTCACGTCCAGCTTATCCGTTCACCCCGTCCGTCCATCTGCTCTCACTGGAGCCATTTGTGCTCACGTGTGCCAGGTCGACTCTCACCCCTCCGCCCTGAGCCTCCGGACTCGTTTAGAGCATCCCCGTGGCGGAAAGTAAGTTGCCATTGTCGGCCTTTAAACTAGAAGACCAATCTGATCCGTGCACCGCTTTGCGGTTCTTCTCCACAGGACGGTGGATTGTGGAATGTGGATTTCTGCCACATTTCTGCTGCTTTGTTGAGCTGGGCCCTTCACTAAGGGCTCACAAAAATAACGAGCTCATTTGTGTAACACCCAGGATAATTTCACAATGTTAAAGCTCAAATCGTGTATTCATTACAACAATATTCCAGAAAAAAAGTAGTATCCACTTTTCCCTCCTGCACGTCTCCTCACAGCTCAACATGAGAGCCGAGCTCTCTTTCCTCGTCCACTGAGTAAACGATGTTGCAATAGCTGTTCGGTGCCTAATGAAAAGCCTTGTCATAGGACTATCATCTGTCAGCCATCATTACATAGAAGCATGGAAACCATTGCTGAGGGAGGCACCTGAGAAATGAAACTTAATTCTCGTGATCCTTGAGTTGTTTAATTAAAACCACTAATAAAACTGTTGTGCTTGTGTTTTCCAGAATGGCACCGACTACGGTTTCCTGGTGCGTCAGAACTCTGAGCTCCTGCGAGGCCTCGACGAGCTGGAGAAAACTTGTGCCACACTGAGGGAGGAGAACGGCCTGCTGGTGAGACTAAAAATATACCGGGTTTGTAGTCTCCACGGAAGGCTTCCCAGAAAGTAGGCCAGGTGCACAGAAGCAGCCAGCAACCCATTTTTAAACGGGCATTGTTTCAGTTAGGTGCCGCTCCTTTTTATTCAGTTTATAAATAAATGTCTATGTGGTCAGTGTGTTGGCCTTTCCTCACGTAGCTTCTGAGCCTCCCACTGGTAACAAACAACACTCTTTAAACCATTAACAAGCCCGGCTGGACAATCGTTAGAATTTAGCCCGCTGGTGATATTTTGTCTCCCATGTGTTTAGCGGAAGAGCAGCGCCCCAGAGACGGAGGAGAAGGTCAGGAGGCTGAGGAGGAAGAACACGGAGCTGTCCGTTCTCGCCAAGAGGCTGGAGGAGAGAGCTCGGAAACTGCAGGAGGCCAACCTCAGAGTGGTATGCCGCAGAAATCCAAGGAGCCCAAACTGTTACGCGGCCGACCGGGTTCTTCTCACGTTCGCGCTTGCTGGGACCAAAATTCTCGAGGGAGCGACTTGCCATCAAGCACCGCCACTCCGAATCACTGCAATGTCCGGGAACGGGTTGAATGGAATAGTTCAGAGTGATGAAATCACTCACCGCCTCATTATGAAATACCGGCACACTATTGAATCATTTAATGCAAGACTAGATTGGCTGTAACAACTCAGTTTATTGTCAGAAGTCTCTTGAGATATAATTCATCTACAGAACAGCTGCAACGGGTTGTGAACACTCCCAATGAGCTCATTGTGATAAATTTACATTTCCGTCCTCACCAGAGAAAGCTGTCAAGCTCGCTATTATGTAAAAAGTCAAAAATGCAATAATTATTTAAGGAAGACTCTCACAATACATTTCTTTATTCTTTTGGAGACAGTATAATTAATGATTACCTTATTTAAGATAATGTTTATCCCTTCTGTGATGCAATATAAATGTTAGTGTTTTTGTGTTTTACAGTTTTCTTCGGTGCCATTTTAAGCGTTTTAAGCATATTTAATTCTAATATGAAAGGAAACCAATTTGATGTGATATTTTCAGACATAAATATCAACTTCTCTATAAATTTGGTCTGAAATATGTAGTACACAGATTGAATCTGTCAGTTTGAAAAAGCTAGTTAGACTGCAAACCGCATGAATAAATGGTAGCTTCAGCTAATGTATTCCCAAGTCCCTGACCTGTTTTTCCTATAGTGCGTAAAGACGCTTATGCAGTGGGCAGTTCACTTATAATAGAGATATCGCCACAACTCACAAATCAGTCGTAATTTCAATAATTTCACAAGTGGTCTCTTGAAACATGACCTGAATGCCACAATCAAATCCGATACTGTAATACTATTCTACTGAAACGCTGCATGATGCACGGCGTCTCTCTCAATGCACAAACAAGAAGTGTGTCCAGATACAAATGCCCTCCCTACCCTTGTGCAGGTGAACTCCCCGTCGCTGCTGAGGCCCGGGTCCGTGGAGCAGTGCAAGAGGGCGTTCGCCCGCCAGCGAGCTCGTGACCTCGCCCAGCACGCCGACCTGCTGCTGTCTAAGGACAAAGAGATTGCCGCCCTGCAGCAAGAGTGCCGAGAGCTGGAGGCCCGGCAGGGCACCACAAAGGTACTTCCTGCAGAACTCCTCAGGAACTATATGAACCGTAACCCTAACCAGACCGCTGATCTGAGCCCTCCTCGCCGTGCCTGCCACAAGCTTGCTCTCTGCTGGACGACGTGGGCACTACTCATCCTAACTCCCTCTTAAGCCCGTATTAGAAAGGCTGCGTCACTGCTGATGAGTAATGAGTGCAGGGATAGGTTGCCTTTCTAAGTGCCTGTTTTTAATTACTGCTCCAGTGACTTAAGAGGTCGTTCCTTACTGAAAGTGAACATCTGCTGGATTTTTATAATGAAGAATGAGCTGTCTAGTGAGCATGTCTGCGCTGGATCTCATGGTCATCCTCAACACATTTCCCACCATGTGATCAGTCTCAAGGGGTTTTCTCATCTTCAATGGGAACATTAAGATGAAATGCCCAGATGAAATGACTTGGAACATCTTCGGTGGTGCATGACCCAGAATCCGTTGTACCGCATGAGTTTTGCCTTTGACTGTCATTTGTATTACTGTTTTCATCTAATAGGATTTATAAAAGAGGTTCTAAATCTTCCAAAATAGTTCCACTCTAGACTACAATAGAGTTGGTAGGATATATATTGATTAGAGGACAGGTGAACTCGCGATGCTGCTTGAGAACAGCTCAATTAGAATAAGGATAATGTGCTGCCACGATGATGTGCACGTCTTGCGGCGGTCTTTGATCTCTGTGTGTGTGTGTGTGTGTGTGTGTGTGTGTGTGTGTGTGTGTGTGTGTGTGTGTGTGTGTCACTCTGAAGGGCTCCCCTGTCCCATCTGGCAGAGTGGAATTTGAGAGGCTCCTCAGGGAGTCTCAGAGGGAGGTGCTGCGGCTCCAGAGGCAGCTGTCTGTCACGTCTTCCAAACAGCAGCGCGACCATATTCCTGACCACGGCTCAGAGAAGTGTGGGGACATCGAGGAGCAAGACGAGGAAGACAAGGTAAAGTCCCCTCCTAACAGGACAACTCTTTGCTGACCCCTGTTGGCCCTCAGCAGTTTGACCATGAGACCCATGTCTATGCACTTTCAAACCGATGACATCAAGTCTGTACATGACATTGAAATGGCAACCGCTGAGTAAATTTGTTAATAGTTGTTTTGAAGTGTGGGTCCTTTTCTGTAAATGGGAATACATTATATATTAAATGATGCAGATATTGTAAAGGAGGAAAAACTGTAGCTTTGTCTAAAAAATGCAACTGGTATGCTGATGCCATCTAAATTGAGGTTAGGTATGTGATGACAACTAACACTAGAGCAGGTTCTGACCAGCTAGGAGCGACAGTGTGGTACCATGCTGCAGTAAATACGTTTTTTTTTTCCCCTGGAACCCAGTGTATGTTTATTTTGGCGTGGATGCTTTGTTATATAATGGCTTGTCGTTGGTCCCGATACTAATCTGCCGCAAGCCATAATGAGATGATTCCCCGCCTTGAACTTGGGCCCGAGCAAAGATACAGAAGTCACACGCTCTGATCCTTCATTTAATTCTCCTCTCGGTTTGGTTCTTAGAAACCGTTCTTCATCCGTGGAGTGAGGCGCACATAAAACAACCACTGTGGCCAAACATGTGAAGAACGCACAAACTGTAAACTTTTTAGGCTCGTCCCAAACTGCTACACGGCCAACCGGGTTCTTCTCACATTCGCACTTGCTGGGACCAAAATGCTCGGGGTGCGACTCGTCATCGAGCACCGCCGCTCCGAATCGCTGCGATGTCCGGGAACGGGTTGAATCCTCTAATCCAAAGATCGGCGGTTCGATCCCCGGCATTCACAGTCACACCAGTAAAAACGTATTCTGCACTTTTGAGTGGTCCAAAGACTAAAAAGGCCACGCAAGGACTATTTACCACATATAAAAAGGATCCTTCGTGTAGAAAGGATAGTATTTGGAAATGTGAAATCTTGTGAGAAATCCGTAATAGGGGTGTTTTTAAATGGTGTCCTTTTGAGTGTGCAATAATATCCGTCTACGTCAAGGCACACAACTTATGTATGGCTGTTTTTTCTTGTAAAATGCACCACTGCCAGCGAAGTAGAGCAAATTCTCTGCCTGTGAAGCTCAAATGAGAATGCCGATTGTGGTAATCTCCCATTCGTGGGACGCACACACGCACCACCAGTGGCACACGCACACCCAGAAAGGGGCCATGTTGTGTGAACTCTAATCCCCTCTAACAACGGAATGGTACAGTCCAGTAATCCGCTCTCTGTTGCCGTGGCAGCGGTGAGAGGGTTTTGGGTGGTAGGTAAGACTCCGGCCGCACTAGAGACTTTTCTATCTCCCGCCCTGCTCTGGATAACTAGCGGGCCAGAAGAAGCCTCGACATTGCCACAGACCGAAGGGGTAGGTCACATTGTTGTTGCCTGCATGTCAGTCGCTGTTGCACCACTGTAGTCCTCCTTGCCTAACCTCGTATGTGTCTGCTCGGATGCGAGCCGGGAGTCGTGCAGCACTCAAAGTTAAGACTTAACACTAAAAAAACGAATCCGTGTCATGACGTATCGTGAGTGTGAGAGCGTTGGCTCAAGGCAGCGAGTGTTGCATTTGTGTTACATATTAAAATTCCCAACATATTCTGAAAGATTATCAGCATGTTGCACGGGCCTTGATGGTGCGCAGTATGACTCCCAGCTCAGCGGATTTTTCTTTCACCGTCTCATGCCTGCAGTTGCTTTTTTTAATAATCATTTCAGTAAATCCCACACATGCAGGTGGAATGCCACTTTCTTCCCAATCAGAAGGACACAACATGCATGTGGCCTAGTCAAGGGCAGCCTGTCAGAAACCCGCTTTTATAACGGTCATATGTGGCGCTTCCAGATGTAGAATTTAGACGGGGCTGACTTAGTGACAGGACGGGCAGAGAGTATGATTGGTGGACATTGATATGCTACGTATTAAAAAAGAAAATCAACGTCCAGGCCAATCCATTAAGGTGCTTTTAAAAGAAGTGATCCAGTTACCCGTTTCAGTAGTCTGCAGGGATTACCCCAATGTGCTTATGGCATTCAGGGCCTGCTGAATGTGGGATCTGACCCTGCGTTAGTGCGCACGGGCCCAAGGTGTACTTGATCCTCTAGTATATATGGACCACATCAGTATGAAGTGTGCACAGTGGCACCTCACGCCGTCGAGTAGCGTGCGAGCGGAGGCCAGCTTCTTCGTGATAAGAACTCGTCTACAAAACGATTATGATGCTCCGGCAGCGGGACAGACCTTCGACATGGCTGCATCTGTCACCGGGCGTCTATTGATGACGATCAGATTGTAATTCAGCGATGGGATCTTCTCTCGCCAATTGTGTTTTAGTTTGTGCGCTCTTGTGGATGCAGTTTTATTGCCTCCCCTGTGGAAGACGCGTAGAGTTTTTCATTTGTTTTATTTTTATGACTGAGAAGCTAAAAGTGCTTCCTTGCAGAAGTTCAGTTTGTTATGTAATATTATTAACCACGTGCATTTGCAAAGAGTACTGGAGCAGAGAGACGGGAATGGTGTTTCTGATTGCTGTATTTTTCAAATTTAAAAAGCGTCAATCCCCATTGTACACACTTTATGGTGTATTTTATCGTCTGTCATGACTCAATTCAAGCCAAAGGACAAATGCCCTTTACTGCAGAAATGGCGTTAATAATAATAACCTAATTATAAAATCTGGAACTGATAATTTAGATTTAAAGCCGATGCTAACCATGTTTGACTGGATGGTTGATAATTAATGCAACACTGCTGCAATAAATCAACAAATCATACAGTTATACACTTTGAAACTCAAAATGCAAACAAACCCTATTTTAGGAATTACTTTTGTCTGTATACAGTTATTAAACCATGTGGCCTCAGAGGAGGCTGTTCCCCTTTTATATTAATGCAACTATTTATCATCATTTTTTTTTTTTTCAGGATGAATTCAACAATTAACATTGAAATGCATTAATTCAAAAAATGTGCTGCTCAAATGCCAGAAAGCTGCTGTACTTCTGCCCACACATGACGTAAAGTTGACGCTATGAAGTGGCTACTGGAATGCAAACCATTATTGTACTTCTTCAATATTGGATGTTTCAGCTCATGTATAACTGTGCAATAACCCAAAATGTTATATATTTATTTGCTTTGAGTTAAACAATAACACAATGTGCCACCGTTTTCAACCCCCCCCAAATATGTTATAGCTTTGTTGCTGCCGTTTATGGGACCTGCTGTCAAGAGTATTGAGTACTTTTTGCTCAGCTGTCCTCATTGAATCAGTTGGAACTCTCGAAGTTGATGTTTTATTTATTTTTTCCTTAATTGTTCACATGAGGATAGAATAGAATAGATAGAATGAGAGGATAAAAGAGGATAGAATGGTGACCAAGTGAAATCTTGTAACCCCTATCAGGTCACACTACGTTTTGTTACTGTGTTGGCACATAAACCTTTGAAATTACTGGTAAAAGCCTAAGCGTTGGTGTGTAAGCGTTGGTGTGTAATGCTATCTATAATGCTCTTTTATTCCTCACAACATTGTGGGCATTATGTTACATTCCCCCCTCTGTGCTCATACGTCAAAACCATGTCAACATTATATCACACGTCGCCTGAACCCTGATGATATTTACTTTGAACTCATTATTGTGAGCTCTCGTGTTCCCTTTGCTCTTTTCAAAAGGATTTCCCCTGCAGGCTCATAGCAATCAATGTGCAACACTGTTAATAACGCATTGTCCCTGTCAGGCTAAAGTTTACAAATTCGCCTTGAAGTCACCTGTGCCAGAAGTAGCTGAGCTAAAGCAGCAAATATGTTCAGAAGAAACTGAGTAGTGGGATAATGATTCTAAATGAAGAGGTCTGTTCAGAATCGCATTGAGATTCTGGCACATGGCTGCCAGATTATAGCAGCAAACACGATGAAGCGAGCCCACTCTCTTGGTATGCTGGGACCAAATGGTTTATCTGCACTTGTGATGGATGTAACGGGACCTTTTAATGACAAGGAAAAGAGCAATCTGCAGAGCGCCCTCGTACCTGTGCACAGGAACCCCTTTCTAAGGGGTTCAATGGAATTAGTGCCTCCTGCTGGCCTTTTATCACCAGCACTGACACCATCTGGTCACCTATCCGAGAAGATAAACCAGGGATAGCCACACTTAACTTAACAGACATGACACTGATGTGGTGCTAAATCACCCCAGTGGGTCATCGGCTTCGTCCTCAGGCCGTATTTGGCTGTATTTGCCATGATGCTTGAGACCGTAAACCTTTCATGATGCGAACTTTGCATGTGAGAGGAAGACTAGTTCACAGCATCTGCATGTTTTAACAAACAAATATTTAAGTGCAGAAAACTTCTACAAGTAATGCAGAAGGCAGAATGAAAGGATTCTGGGAATTCCATGGTGTGTCGTTTTATGTCATTCCGATGAATATCTTGTGAAATGTCATTGCCATTGAAAGTTTCCCGGTGTATGAGAATAATGAATGAATCAATGAAAATCAAGTAATAACTGTTGCTAGTTTTTCTACTTGCACTAAAGTGGTTTTGGTTGGTAGATACGTCTATCATCGCCCATGCAAATCAACTAAATACATCCGTAAGGTCAGGGATGCCTGTATTGTTCATCTTTCTCTTGTTATAGGGATAGAGAAATGTAAAACAAGAATGCTTAATTCTAGTAGAAATAAGTCTGCAGTTACGGAGTTACCCTCAGCATCCAAGTGTGTTTCCCAACTGGCTCTATTATAAATAGCATCATATTCATGAACCAAACTATTTGCAACAATTTGCAACATTTGTATTGTATGCTTGACAATAGACATAAAAAAATGTGTTTTGGTGTATTTGCCAAATATTGTTAGACACCGATCAGAACAAATAACAACAATAACATAAGTAGTATGTATACTGTATCACTCTCGTTGATTTGTAACTGTATGTGTAAGTGACTGGTTTAACAGTACTCATCATTTCTGTCACAATCACTTTGCAGCTCGCAGCAGAGCACCTTTAAACCTGTTATTGGGTCGTGGCTTTGGCTGCACTAGCACAGTTCTACTTTGAGCATAAGTAGGTTTGCTCTAAAATTAGACACTGATTCCCGACTCTTAACCCTCAACCAATGTCAGCCTGCCCCCCAACCTGGATCCAAGTTAGACAAATCTTACGATTCATAAAAATCAACAGCTGAGAAAGGCAGCGTCCTGTGAAACGTTAGTCCCTTTTGTCCCTAAAGTTAAAGTCCCCACAGACCTAATTAGAAAGAACTGGTATTCTTCTATGTGAGGTCGTCCTGTTGGAGGCTTTGGGGGGGATTCCCCTCCTGGATTATTCTTTAATTGTAGTCGGACCACTGGGAAGAAGGCTTGCTGCTAATCCCTCATTCACAGTGGGAGTGGGAGGGGGGGTGACTTTACAGTTTAACAATCGCATGTTGGCTACCTTCTCAGTAACACGTTTTTAAACAGACCGTTCACCGCCCAATCAAATCTGCATATTTTTCCCTCTCACCTGTCGCGCAATTTTGGCTGTTTTGGTGTGAGTGACCTTATTTTGGAGATATCGGCTTCCCCAATATAATGGCTCCATATAGCATCTGGCTTGTGGTGCTTAAAAACTAAATGCATTGAAGAACTCAAAAGCAGTGTCTCTGAAATCATGATCATCATGATGAATTGATGCACCAAACAATATAAATAATTAACACTACAGGAAATATGTGTATTGATTGTTTTGAACTATGTCCTTGAGGTTGATTGACACATTACGTGTGTAAATATGAAATGACTGAATGAATGATTGTCCCCTTTCAGGTTGTAGAAGAGACCCCGCGGGTGGCATTAAATGAAGCTCCATCCAGGTGTGCGAAGACTCCCGAAGAGGCGGAGGAGTCGGGGCTGCGAGTAACGCCCCAAACGGGCCTGAGCCCGCCCCCCTCCCGTCAGGAGGAACACACAGAGGAGCAGCACCTACAGTTACTGGTGAGAGCATGTAGCACTCTACTGATATTTGAAAAAGACATACGCATGTAGCGCAAAATGCATTAAAAATCATCATACAAGAGTTTCCCGCGCGAATGTCCTACATTTTTCAGTTTGAATCTCAATGTAAAATCCAGTTAAATTTGACCTTGATGAAGACAAACTCACTTGAGAAAATCTGTTAAAACCATTTAACATTGTCAAATACACCAATTATGGTTGTTGTGTGCTGCTCAAATTAAATGGGTTAGTAATGCAGGAGGCTACTAGAGATCAGCAGTGGACGTTTCAAATGGATTCTATCCTGAAAGTCCGTTAAGCAGGTATGGATGCAGAAATCTCGACGTTCACGTTGCTTTTTCACGAGGCTGAATTCAGTGCTGCGACGGAGCTCACTGCCACCGCCGGGCAATCTATGGTGAGATTTGTTATGTAATGCAGCAGGATTATTTTGAGCTTGTCCGCTGGAAACCGAAGAGTGGCACATTGCCCTCGCGTACTCTCCACAAGGGTCTCGCGGCTTAAATGGAACATATTCCCTCTCAGCTCTGTGTTCTTGACTCTCTTGGTTCGGGATGGGAAATGGAGATTCCAGACATGAACTGACGATGTGAAGAGGGAGCAGATACCACAATAGCATTAGTGCCAGTAACAGGCTGCATGACTCCTCACCCTTTAGCCGTGAGCCGTGCATGTGCAGAGCCGCACGCCCCGCGGTGCTCTCGCTGAGGTGTCTGTGCGCTTTGAAAAGGCCGTTGTGCAGTTTTCCGTCAGAGTGGAAGTTGTAATTTATGTCTAAAGTTCACATTTATATAAGTTTCTCAAATGCATTAGTTGCACATGAAGCTTGAAGGTTTATTTGACTGTTTTTTAAATATTTGTTGGATCTTCAGCTCACATCATAAACCAACTGGCAAATATCTTAGATGGGTTACATCGTGAGTAAGCGCTGACCTCTCACAGAAAGACAGTGTTAGCCCAGATATCATGTAGATGGAAGTTTTAGCCATGAGCCATTAGCAATAACAGTCAGTACAACAACTTTGTTACAATAGTACCCACAGGATAAATAAATAACTTTAACAACAACCCCTTCATTTTCCACGGTGCCATCATCAGGTTCAGCCTCACCTTCACTGTGTGCTGTTGTTGTTGTGGGTTGAGTGCCATTTGGCAAATATAAGAATGCAAGCAAAGACCGTCAGCGCGGTGACCATTCGTACCTGTCAAACCAAACATAAATGCATTAGCATTGGGAACATGCTAGCACACAATGTTAGCACTTAGCTCGGCCTCACAGATCTATGAAAAAGATGCCCTGCATGCTGATGTCACCAGCTTTGAAGGTCCCATTGGAAAAAAAAGCTACTTGGTGCATGGTTCAAATGACAATAAAGACGAATGGAGGATGCAGAAAATAAGAGGGAGAAGAAACAAATGGACACTGTTCAGTGCACTGTCCTCGTTGGTTGTCAAACAGCTGACAATACATTTGTGTTACAATCATCCATGTTTTTATGCGATACCCAATCAAACAGATCCAGTTCTATTATCATTATTGTCTCACTGTGTCATCATCGGTTGGTGGTCTGTCATTAGCCGTCTGTTCTGTAGCTTCCCCCCAAACCGTCCCAGCGGTAATTGAGGTCTTGTAGCATTGCTGAAATAAGCTGATTTCTCCTATGCTGGTCCTGCATGTAAGCTCCATTTAGAATAATTAAAGGATGCTAAGCTTTGTAATACCTCATTGTTATCTAGTCAGAGGTCAACTAAAGCCAACGTTTTCCGCATTGCGAAATGTAAACGCAATTTATTTGTCACTTTGTGACATGTTGTTTTCACTGTTATCGGACTTGTACATTATCTCCTATTAAATGTTTTAGAGATCCCAAAAAGTAAGGATTCAATGTAACTCTTCTTTGCTTTGTAATCACTGTTGTTCCAGGAAAGTGAGCTGAGCAAAAAGAGAAAAGAATGTGAAAACCTTGAGCATGAAGTAAAGAAGCGACGGAAGAGATGTCTGGATTTGGTAAGCACTCTACTTGTTCTGTGGCTCCAGTCCTGTTTTAAGCACCGTACGCATACGGGAGATACGGTGACGGGAACGGATGTGAGATCGATGTGAACTTTTCCTTTCGATCGCAGGAGAACCGGCTTGAGGATGAGCAAGGCAAAAATGAGCAACTGAAGGAGGAGGCAGATCTCCTCAGGAGGAAGGCACAGCTGCTCGACCAGGTCAGTGTCGAGCTCCACTGCAGAAAAATATGTTTAGCTTTTTGTCCCCTCTGTGAAGTGGATCTGAATTTCATAGTGTTTGCAATCTATTGATACAAGTTACACACCAACTAGCAAGACAATCAAAGCTCCTTTTGTAGTAAAAGCTCAAACAGAGATACAATGTCACATGTTACAGGGACATCATGTGCTCCTCTCTCCTCCCATTGCTCTTCAGACTCGGGCTGAGAATGAGGAGCTGAGGGAAGATCTCTCTGAAGTGACCGCTCAACACAATTCAGTTCTCGAGGAGAACCAGAGACTCCGTGCCAAACTGGAGAACCTAGAGCAGGTCATAAAGGTGCGGCTGGGCTCCGGCGCTCCACATGTTATTTTCAATTTTGACCCCTTACCTCTTATTTCACTGTGAGAGAGATAAACTGCGCTCTGGTATATATTTTCTTCTCTCCAAACAGCATATGCGAGAGGTCGCCGAGCGAAGGCAGCAGCTGGAATTGGAACATGAGCAGGCACTGGCTATCCTTAAGTTCAAACAGGATGAAATCAAACGGTTACACCGGGTAAGACGCTCGGCCTCTTCTACACTTCCTGTATTTAACTTAACTTTCCCTGATAAATTAAAGAGACCCTCATGTCTCATGGGTGGCTTTGTCCAGCAGGAGGCAACCTTTGCACACCAATAAAGCAGTTTGATAACACAGCTGCCTGGGTTGGGGATTTTATGAGCAAACCACAAAAGTTACACTAAATGAATACCTTTTAATAATATTTTATTGTTTGATCCTCAGGCTCAGTTATACGCCAAGAGGGAGCATGAAGGGGTGGTTCAGGTTCTGGAGGTAAGTTAGTGTGTGACTAGCAGAGAAATCCTTTTCCATACCAGGCAGGGTTTTTATTGCCGCACAGTCCAGCACTGAGATGCTTCTAAAAGCTTCACGATGATTTACCAAGACAAAAATCCTGAAGGCGTCAAGAGTTTACTACAGTCACACAGGGGAGAAATTCACTCAGACCCGACATTAGAAAGAGTGTTTCCCTAATCCACTAGTGTGGTTCAATCTGAAAAAATCAACTTTGTCATTAAAAAAGGTTTCTTATCTCTCTAACCAAATCAAACAGTATTTGGGGATGTTTAGAGGACAAAAAAGGCATCCCATTACCAGTGGAGCGGCTCTTTATTCTAATCTAGACACCTGGCAGACAACATTTGTACTGGTACTTTATACTGCACTGCATTTGGGGTCCTGAAAACCGTTTGAACAGATGGCTTCTCCGCTGCCATGTGACATTTAGACATGAATTCAAATCGACGCAGTCTGTGACGGTTGGAACCTCTGGTCTGTCTGATTGGCTGATGATTTTGAATGATGACACAAAAAAAGAGCCTTAAAAGGTCTTCCAAAGGTACCGACTATGTGTGTCCGCTGTCTCTGCTACAATTTTTCACCCAGTGCATTTGCTGAAATGACGTGTGTATTTTATTTTAGGAGTTGACTCAGCTTGTGTTGCAGAGGGAACTGGTAGAGTATACCTGCTCCTGACTCCTTATTTTTTCTTTAAGTGCTTGTTTCCTTCCTCTTGCTTTGTTTCTCTCACTTGCTGCGTGTATTTAAACGCAAAGCATCAAGGGAGAAAGTGTCTTTTCCCGAGTCAACGCAATGCCTGTACGACTAACCCCAGTATTTGTGCATATTAAAACAGGCAGCTCCAGACACGTTCTAGTGATACTGGTTCACAACAGGATTTACTTGCAGACCTGAACTCGGACTGCTGTGTTTCTGCTTTATTCCTTTCTCAATTTCATTGTTTCAAAAGCATGTCGTTCCGTTTTTTCTGTCCTTTGTGTTCACATTTTGCTAACCAGAGTACACTGGACTGCATGCAGGTACTGTTGACCTTTAGCCATCTTGGCCTAATTATTCCCTGACACTAATCCCACCCCCCTACCCAAGCCCCCTACTTATAGAACTAGCAAAACCCAATTGCTTTTATTTAAACCCCTTGAGTTGGCCTTTTAGTTCATAAACATCAATTTCATAGACGCTTCATGGGGCCACAGAGGCCACAAATACTTTAACTCTTTATTAATTAACTCATTTCTTTTAGGCTTGCAAGCCGTGTGCAGGTCATTCTCATGAGACCAGATAACATCTGTGGCACGGTTAGCGTCCCAGCTGCACTGAGCGCCCTTGCAGGCTTCTTATTTGATCGTTTTCATGTACACATCCCCCATGAGAGCTCCCCCAACACACTGCTGAGCAGGGTGGCTTTCTGTAATTCAGTATTCATTTGAGGGTTCAAAGTGATTTCTCTCGGCGTTTCGGTCCTCATTTCCACTTCAGCTCGGTGTAGCCAGATAACGAGCGGCTGCAGGCGAGGCTCTTGCGTAGGTGAGAGATAACAGGAAATGTTATTCACACAGTTTCGTGCTGAGGCTTTTTGTCAGATCAGCCTGACAGGAAACTCACGCAACCTGAAGTGAAATCAGCCGCATGTAGAAACTCAGCAGAGCCAAAACGAGCCTCTATAGTAAAACCTGAACGGCGTGTAAAAAAAGAAGCCGAAAAAGTCACTTCTCTTAACGTGCTTGTAGGCTTCCCTCCTTTCCCATCCAACCAGAAAGCTCTTCTTTTTGTCTACCCCCTTTTTTCTTTCAACTAAACCTGTAGTTTGTGTTTGTGTAAAGCTTATATAAAATGTTTTATATAGTCTGTTTTGTAGAAAACTAACTGTATTCGCAGTCCTTTATTATGTAATGATCCCATACAGGCAGCAATGTATGAACTATGATGTACCCTTTCTTAAACAGTTCCATTTATTCATACACCAAAATAATCATGACCATAAGATCAGATGTACAATTGGATTTGTCAAATGTGTTTTTACCTTATAGTATTATCACACAGACATCAGAAGTTTCTGCATGCCACTGACAATTTATAAAGCAGGTTACTTCTACAAACTGTTCTACAAACTCCACTTGAGACTGGAGAACAGCTGTGCTCACTTGTTAGTGTGTCTCGTCTTCTGGTTACTAACTGTCACTGTTCACCATTTGGGCAGTCGAAGGTACGAGACCTGGAGGACAAATGTCGCAGCCAGACAGAACAGTTTGGTGCCCTCTCCCAGGAGTTGGAGAAGTTTCGACTGCAGGCCTCCAAGGTGGACCTGGCCGGCGCCAGCCTCCTTAACAATCCCAGTCTCTCTGTTCTGACCAACGGGGTGGGCCTGACTGCAGAGCGAGGTGAGCCACACCACCCCGAAGGCTTCTCCAGCACCACAGTACATCCTGTGCAGAGAGAGAAAGTCTTAGTTGCTGAGGGCTTTTGGGTCGTGTTAGTGGATGAATCACCATCAGCTGTACATCACAAGGTCCTTTTTTCATTATTATTATGTACTATTTAGTACTTTGAAGGGAATCTAAAAAAACAGCTACATTTCAATAATCCCTAACCCAACTTTCATGGTAGATAATCCTTTTTAGTGTACTTTAATTTCTTAGGGAAATCCTGGCACAAAGCATGGCTCGGGACATATGGACCAGCAGCCTCAGTCCACTCTTTGACAGAATGCCTTCCTTCTCTTTTGTGTGTCAGAACTACAAACGGAGCACAACCTCTTACGTTTCCGCATGTTCAACACAGGCTGTGAATTAAAGGCACAGGTGCATGCTTTTGAGAATATCCATTATAATGTAATCCCAGCCACAACTACTTCAGCAGTGCAAACTAGTCCAAGTCGCTTCTACTGTATGTGCCCATCCAACCTCTTTCCCCTTGCACTGTTCATGTCTTTTTAGACTGCACTGGTGGCTCATGGGACATGGTGTCTCTGGGTGAAATAGCCTTCTGGAGTCTCGAGGGAGGTGACACTCTCTCCTGCCCCGAGGGTAAAAATCCGCCCCGGTATTTCCTCCGTCTCTGTCACCCCATGATGAGTGTTGGGCACTGTCACAAAAAGCACGGCATGTTTCTAACCGTCATCTCACCCACACTGTCGCCGTCCTGCACTGCCTGTAAATGCTCATCATCACATGAGGGTCAGTGCTCATGGGCTGAGGTGAGAAAATGTACCAGTTAAGCCCCTTAACCGTGCTGGTGTGACACACCTTTGACCTCAGACAGATGGAGATCGGATTTTTTAATCAGTCCAGTTCACCTTGAGGCTTCCGCATCAATCCGATGACCTCGTCCCACCCAGCAGCTCATGGAATCCACCTGTTAAACTAGCGAGAGGGCCGGGAGTATCTAGTAAACTCACAGATTATGTCTTAACCTCGTTGTCTCTCTCTTTCTCTCTCCATCCTGCTAGACTTGGCCGCTGCGCTGCGGCTGGGGGCCACCCCCCACGCCGCGGGGCTGTCCAGGGTGGAGCGCTCGCCCGTCACCAAGCACCGCGAGCTGCCCACCATCAGCGTCAGCAAGTCAGGCTCTTCGTCCAGCAAGTCCGAGACCGCCCACCTCAGCACCAAGTCCGACACGCACCTCAGTCCGCACAAATCAAGCCCCACACATGAGGTACCGGCCTGGGCAATGCCTCTAACGTACCGCCGTCAAATGGTTAATACATCCAAAATGCTGGCTTTCTTTTTGCCAACATAAAATGGGGGGATTTCCTGCCGCTCCTCTGCTGTCTTTGTATCCACATAGTCGGTCAACCCTTAAGCCCAAATTTTTCTGTTCCAGCGGTGTATAAATGAGCAGATAGTTAAGGTTTTATTTTATAGACAAATGTTAATAAGTTGCGCTGAAAAAAGTTCACTGCATCATTTTACTTTTTACTTTTAATGTCCACTTAGTTTTTGCATGCACATTGCTAGCAGGTTAAGAGTCCGGGCAATCCATTCTCTGTTCGTGGTGTTTTTAGGTGGACACTGCCAGTGAAGTGGAGGAGCTGGACATTGACGTAGCTCCTGTACCTTACACAGCCAGCAGAGGAGCAGCCAAGCTTCAAGTTCTTATTGCGCGATACAGGTAAATTCAAACTAGGCACGAGCTTACTCACAATGTCAACACTTCAATATGGGATAGAGAAATAACTTCCTGGCGAATTACTTTTTGACAGCTATAATCCATACGATGGCCCCAATGACAACCCCGAGGTGGAGCTTCCACTCACAGCTGGAGAATACATCTATGTGTACGGAGACATGGACAACGACGGCTTCTATGAAGGTAAGTCCATGAGTACCTGAAGTACCCAGCAGTTCATATTTTAGTCTTCACGGGGCGCTCCTTGTTTAACGTGGCTTCCTTACAGGCGAGCTGATGGATGGGCGGAGAGGGCTGGTCCCCTCTAACTTTGTGGAGCGTGTGTCGGACGACGATGTCATCAGCAGTCACCATCCAGAGACGGGGGACGTGTCCCACAACTCCCTGCTAGACAGCAGCCTGCACAGTGCCAGCCACCAGCATCGACTCCACGTGGGCGTCAGCGCCTCGGAAAGGACGGAGGCCGCCGCCTCTGGCCTCGCCTCAGCCCCTTCGGATCCAGCGTCGGCCTTGGCTGTCTCAGCCCCCTTCACCAACGGCCTGGACTTGGATTTGGAGGAGGTGGGAGTGGACATTGTGCCTTACCCACGTAGGCTCACCCTCATCAAGCAGCTCGCCAAAAGCATCATCATCGGCTGGGACCCCCCGTTGGTGCCGGCCGGGTGGGGCAATGTGTGGAGCTACAATGTGTACGTGGACCAGGAGCTGCGGCTCAATGTGCCCTTCGGTGCCCAGACCAAAGCGGTGCTGGAGCGGTTGGACATAAACCTCAAGGCCTACCGCGTGTCAGTGCAAAGCCTGACGGAGAAGGGCCCCTCGGACCAGCTGCGCTGCAGCATGCTGGTCGGTCGGGACGTCTGTGTGGCGCCCACGCAGCTGCGGGCGGAGAGGATTACCGCCACCTCTGCCAATCTGACCTGGCTGCCCAGCAACAGTAACTATGTGCACATTGTGTCCTTGAACGAGGAGGAGTGTGAGCTGGTGAAGGCTGGCTGCAGCTCGCTGTGCCTCAATAACCTCCTGCCCAGCCTGCAGTACTCGGTCAAAGTGGAGGCACGGCCGCATCGCACGCCATGGGAGTTACCCGCGGAGCGGCGGCAACACCGGAGCGCCTCCATCACCTTCACCACACTGATGGCAGGTCAGGATTCAGCATCTTGTTTTATATCAAAAATCTATCTTTTATCGTCTGTCCAATTCCACTTGCACCTAATAATAAATGGATCAGGATTCAATAGAAACGGATTCTCTTCATTCGATGTTTATTCGTATCAAAATGTAAATTGCACAATTTGGGAATCTTTTTAAATGTACAATTTGCAAGTCCATTATTTATAAAATATTTGTGGCTTCAATTAGATACACGTGTTCAATATTGTGAATGGTAGTGATTGATATTTTATAGAGCGTAGCATGGGCCATGCGTTGATCATGGGAGAGACTGTACAATTGACAGTGGTTAATGGTAAACAATCCCCAAACTGTTTGTTCGGTCGACTGCTGGTTCCGTCCAGCTCTTCAAGTCAACGCAGCGATCAGCAAACATGTTAAGCCAATGCGTAATATTCAGATGTCTTATATTTAGTGGTGATTCACAAGGACATCAGTTTATACATTAATTCTATTAATTAACACATGATTGTGGTACCATAGTGCTACCATGCCCCTTCTAATCTACTCCACAATCTTGTTTTGGTTTTTCATGAATGAATCTGCTTATTTGTGATCTCTAAATTATCTTTCAAATTTGCTTAAGTTTCATGCCCACAGTCTGGGAACGCAGGTATATGGTTTCTAAATGTCTAAAACGTCCCTCTAGAGTTCTAGATGGCCCTTCTCTCTTTTACATGTAGCGTTATACATATCCCATGTGAAGTTCATTACGTATCCCAAGCACTGTATTCTGTATTTTAATGTGTGAATCACTTGACCCTATAATAAAATGAAATGTCTCTATCTTTTGCTTGCCACTGGCTGCTAATCCCCGCAGGTCCCCCGGATGCTCCTCTGGATGTCCAGCTGGAGCACGGCCCCTCCCCGGGCATTGCCCTCATCAGCTGGCTGCCAGTCACCATCGATGCCGCCGGGACCTCCAACGGAGTCCGTGTCACTGGATACACTATATATGCTGACAAGAAGAAGGCAAGAACTTTAAGTCCTTTACGGGTTTATTTCAGTATATAATCCGTTTTGGAAGTGTGTTTTTGCTCAAAGGGTCCGGTCATTCTCCCCATCAAGGTGCTGGAGGTGTCTTCCCCTACGGCCGGCAGTGCCCTGCTGGGCCCCTCTCAGATGCAGTCCCTGCTGGCCGCTCACGAGCTCACTCTCCGCACCATGTCCGCCCACGGGGAGTCCTCCGACTCTCTGCCAGTCCATGTGCCCTCCAAGCTGGCCTCCATCATGGCAGGTCCAGCCGCCACCGCCCCGCAGCCCCACCACCTCAGTCACCTTCCCTCGCCGCCGTCCTACGGGAACTCTGCTGCCAAAGTCTCCATGCCGCCCAGCGCTCTGCCATCAGACACAAACATCCCCGGCCACGCAGTGGGAGCCGTTGCCAACCCTCCTCGAGCTCCCCACCCAGACGACCTTCTCCTATCAGCTGCGTATGTGAATGCCTGGGCCAATCCCTCCTCTGCTGCGGCCTTGGCTGACCGTGAGGCCACATTACCGGTAGCCACCAGCATTCCTCTGGAGGTAATCCTCACTCTTCCATCCTCATTTATTTCTCCAGAGGTTTTCAGATGTTGAGGCGTCTGGAAGTTATTAATTGTATCTTGACCAGATTATGACTACTCTCTGGCAGTTTGAGCTGCCGCATCTAAGCAATTACAATGCAATTAAGGCTTTAATTCTGAACGGCCGATTCCCGCACAAACATCCGCTTAGAATTCATAGAAATATTTCTCTGACAGTTCTCGGATGGAAACAGGAACTGCTAATTCGGCATGCTGTTAATGCTGACAACTTGCCGAAATGTAAAACAAGTGGTGTTGCCCTCCACTAACAAACTACTCACCAATAATATCTAGAATAATTGGAATCAAAGGTTAATTAGTGTTGACTCTCTCTCTCGTCGTCAGGTAAAAGTGACCTCTCCCACCATCTCACCACCTCAAGTAGCGGCACCAGTAGCAGCAGCAACGGTGTTGGAGCGCCACAGAGACACCAACAGCCCCGGAGTCATTCGGCCCTTCCCTTCTATGGTGGAGTTCATCGAGGAGGCCGAGGCCCAGTTCGCGAACGCTGAGCCCATCCCTCCCCCACCCAAAGCCCCTCTCACAGACTTCCTTAATCCTCCGAACATTAACCTTCACCGCCCTCCGAGCAGCTCCCCGCTGGAGTCCGAAGCAGAGGAGGAGCAAGAGAATTCCCGCTTGGTTTCCATGGATGATTTCTTGACACAGGACCAGGAGCCAGATTACTGTCGGACGCAGCAGGTCAGCAGTGATTTTTGTCAACACTGTCTACTCAAAATAGTTTACTTGTCACTAAAGGAAGGCACTGTAACTAAAGGATGTGGCATATAAGGTGAAGCTACATTCGGAGCCCTAGAGAGGTGTTGTCTAATTAATTCTGACACCAGATAAAGGCATGGTTTATTTTTTTTGAAGAGTGGTTGTGTGAGGTACTTATTCATAGTCAGTTTATTACCCCAGTTTGGTGAATCACCAGATTATGGGAGCAAAGTGAATGGGGATCGCAGAAAAACGTATTTTACACACTGAATTGCATTCCATGTGGCGTCAGGACTAAGATGGCTTATATTATTAATTTTTATTAATATTTGTTGTTAAAATATTGCTTTATCCTGGATGGCTTAATGGAGATAATGAAATCATCAATCAATCAATCATTATTAGATTTCCATTCATATTTCAGTCAAGTAAGCTCTTACCAGTGCTAAATGCATCGGGCCACGTAGCTGTTGGCACGAATATGTTATTATGGCTTTGTTTCAGGTGTGCATTTCAATCTGCGACATGTTATCGTTTCGCTGCAGATGTATTTTTTGTTGATTTATAAGAATGAATATAAGAAATGTTCCGTTAAATTGGAGAGTTTGCATCAGTATGTTGACGTATTTTATTGCAGAGTTACAGCAGAGGGCTCGTGGAGCCTCCCGGTGACTACCACGCAGACAACAGCCGTTCAGACCTGTCGGACATCCTGGAAGAGGAGGAGGAGGAACTTTACTCCGACCACCTTCGGGAAGCACAGGACCGGGGCTACATATTCAGAGCAAACAGGGTAAAGGAAAGCGTGCACTGCATCATTTTTGGCTATTTGCAGAGGCACCACGATTTCTGCTTTTTGGATCAAATATGCTTTGCTGTGCTTGTGTTGCTTAGTTAAGTCGTCACTCAGTGGCCTTATGTCATATTCTTGATAGTGCTCGATTAAGATCCTTTTTTTTTTCTTCTTCCTCTTTCTTTTCTATTTCCTTTGCATGACCGTCTTGGCCTCTGTTTTTTCTGCACGTTTATTGCCCTTATTTTCACTTAACGATTTAATTTTCCATCCCACCTTCACCAATCACCTCTTGGTTGCTTCGACCTTTTGCCATTTAGTCCCGCAAATTGGAGGCGTCAGACAGTGACGAGGAGGTGCTAGAGAGGATCCTTAAGTTGCCGGCTCAGGTACAACACCAAAAGCAGCTGTTCAGCATTCCTGAGGCGACTGAAGACAGAGATTGCAGTCAAGAAGAGCATTTAACCCGACGGGGTCAGACGTGGCCTAGGCCCGGCCCCAGAGACCCAGAGCGCTTCCCCCAGCATCACCCCAACGCACACGCACACGTCCCCCCTCACCACCACCACCACCACCACTACAACAGGGATCCCAGATCCCTAACCAGAGAGCCTCTTCTCAGGCAGGTCAAGTCTAGGACGCCCCACAGGGTGCACTACACAGACACAGTGGACTCCATCGGTTACCCGGAAGATCAAGACCAGACTTTATACGAGGGTCCCACCAGCAGGCGGGCCCACTGTCCTCCACAGCTGACCCCCACCAGCAAAGAAAGAGGCTTAAAAGGGCTAGGGGACCGCCTTAGGAGGGAGGCCATGCTAAGGAGTCAGATGGCTGTCGCCGCGGCTGCTGACCCCGGCCATGGTCCCAACCCGCCAAGACCCTACCTGGTGAGCAAAACGCTACAGGGCCTAAAGCCGCCTATCGGCCCTGGGGAAGAGATTGACGTGGAGTACGGCACCGATGACATCTGCGGCCCGGGGCAGGCGGGGACGGAGCCGATGACACCCGAGTGGCGGGTAGAGGGGGCTCAAGCGGAGCACAGCAGAGCTGCTCACTGCCGGGGGATGCAGGCTGACCCGCTGGTAAATGTTGTCCCGGCCCCCTCCTCTCCCCTGTCCAGTAGCGGCGTAGACTCGGCCCTCTGAGTTGTTTTGTGGATGTCACCGAAGTACATCGATCGGTAGACTGCTACGTTTTCTTCGCCACGCTGGCACAACTCATGGCGTAGTTTGCTCTTCTAAAAGCCAAAGGCAAAGTACAGTTCATTAAGTCCACCACCAGCCAGTTGCTTCAGACTTTGAATGTTAAGATTTGGGGTCAGTCGAAGAGTAGCTCACTTTTTTTTCTCCCTCTCTCTAACTGCACTGCTTCCTGTTGCATTCATTTTTTTCCCTCCACTTTGAAAGCCACTCAGCTCTTTTCTTGGAATAGTCTGCCTGTTCCTCCATTAGCTCATGATGTATGTGCTTTGGTCTGTATCTTCTAGCCACCACAATGCAACCAATGACACGTATGAGGCAACTGAATATGGTTTTGCTAAATGAACAGCACGATTGTGTTTCTGTGTTCGAGGGTTTCTCTTATCGTCCTGTTTCTCTTGCTGTATGTGGAGCAGGAGCCCAGCCAAATCCCTCCCGCGGAGGCCGGTCCATCGCAGGCCAGGCAACTGAAAGGTCAGGGACTCTGTCCTCTTTGGTCTTCTTGTGTCCTCTGTCTGTCCATTTACTTAATTCACTCGCTTTACTACAATGGTGCACTTGTCTGACACATCTTTGCCTTCAGCTAGCAGGGCTGCCGCCCTCTCACAGTCAGAGTAGTGAGAGTAGCACCTTGTGTAGGAAGTGAGAGCCAGGGTGTGGGGGGGAGGGTGGAGAAGGTGCTGTAGCTGCGGAGAAGTGTGAGAGAGCCTGTTAAGCTGAGAACTGGCTTAACTCAAAGTGGCTTGTCATGACAGGAGGAAGTGACAGAATTTAAAAAAGTGACCTCGGTTAGCCAGCAGAGAACCGGCCTGCAGGGAGGACGTATGAGTGTCTCTCTGCCTCAGCTTACCTTATTTCTTCTCGGTTGCCACGGCGATTACATAAACCAAACATTTCAAGTGCATGTGCGCATACACAGTTGGCTACACACACACACACACACACACACACACACAAAAGCATGTGCGCACAGATAGAGGAAGGAGCAGGGAGATTCAAAAAGGGACTCAAAAAGCAGTGAGGATGTGAAAGTGCACAAGTTGGCTGCCCGTGACTTTTGTCCCAGATGGGCTGATTCCCCCTAATGAGATAGAGAACACGTCCCTTCAGTGCAGCTTAAAGTCTCACTACAGCTCTTCAAATGTGTCACTGGCGGTAATGCTTTTAGGCACACCGGTGTCACATCTTGCGCAGTGCGCCGCGCTGGGATGTTGCACCTCACACCATGAGTGTATTTGTCAGTAAGTTTCTCCAGTTGAGTGGGTCAAACCTGGTGGGTTCTCCCCGGCGCTCGGCTCGCTGCAGATCATGGATGAGTACACATTCGGCTCACTGAGCTTAGAATCAGTGGGTTTGCTTGACTACGTCAGGACTTGCATGTGCTCGCTCAACGAGCAGCCATCATAGCAGCGTTACGGGTGGAGGGGGAGGCGGAGCGAGTAGGCTGTGCTATTTGCAGAGCTGGCTTGTGTGCCAAGACTGTCACTAGGTATTTTTAAAGCTAACAAAGAGACACTGCATAAAAACAAAAGAATTCTCTAACTTGAACAAGTGAAATGATTGTTTAATAAAACTGGGCTGTCAACATTTTAAATTCAAATATATATATGAATAAATTAATCTGATATTTGAGTTTGAAAGTTCTGCAGCGGCTGGCTGCCTCCCATGCGCAGGAACGCACACAGACACCAAACCACTGAAAAAAAGCATGCATTGTACTTCTATCTTTAACTCTTTGTACTTATAAATATTCTTCTTTATACAATAAAACAAACAGCTGGTAGCTAACTCGAGGCGATCGCCTCCACTGTACCCTGTTTTTTGTGTAATTAAATGCTGTATATGGGTAGCAGAAGAAGTATTGTGACTGTGTATGTGTGTGTGTGTGTGTGCTTGCAGGTGATTCACCAAAGATCAAAAGAGACGGCAATGTGCGTATCTTTGTGGCCCTCTTTCCTTATGATCCCGCCAATATGTCACCCAATCCTGATGCTGCCGAGGAGGAACTTCCCTTCACTGAGGGACAGATCATCAAAGTACGTCCCCACACAGCTCAGACGCTGCTCCAGTAACCCTGACAGTCATGCTTGTGTTTTCTTTTCAAGCATCCCTAACACGCTCACAGTAAAAAGAGGATGTATTGGTTTTCCCATCAGTCATTCAGAGCCCCCCAGTCACATTAAAGTACTGAGTTTTTGTTTAGCGATACTACGGGCCCGTGTCCCCTTTCAGTAGATCCGTTTTTACACTCCCCAGGTTTACGGAGATAAAGACGCAGACGGGTTCTACCGAGGAGAGAGCAACAGTCACCTGGGCTACGTGCCCTGTAACATGGTGTCTGAGATCCAGGTGGAGGACGAGGAGACCCGGCAGCAGCTGCTGCGGCAGGGCTTCTTGTCCACAGCGGCCTCCATGGAGAAGATAGGTAGGTGAACCCGCCCAGAGACGTGCCTGTTGGCACATCTACAAGTGTAAATTGTAATCATGCCGTGTGCCATTATGTGTTATGTGTGCGTTCCAGTTGGAAACAAGTACATCCTTTACCAAAACTGTAATGTTTTACGTCATATATCAACACTGTGTTTGTGTTGAAAGGGGTAAGTTAAAATAGCATCACAAGTGTTGCAGAATCCAAACCTCAAATATACAGTTTTCATTTGCCTAGTCTTCGACTTGGCCAGCTGAATTAAGTCCTGTGTAAAGTTGTCATAGTTTTGACTGCAATTAATCAAGGAAACTCCGAAAGCTTCTTTTCCAGATGAGAGAAGATGCAAAAACTCCCACTGGCCTGATGACGTTTTGATCCAGCAGCAAGCACAAAGAAAGCTCAGTTGGACTGTAATTAAATTCATCCAAAACTTCCCTCCCAATGGCATTTTTATGTGCCTTTTGTTCACGCTGTTGCTATTAAGGAAAGCATAGCATCTAAAAGAGGACACATTTATCAACCTGACACTTGGCTTCTGTTTCCTGCTTTCTACTCTGAGCGGTGCAGCTGTAGATGGTTTAACCTTTTCACTTTCACTTGTTCTCAGTACTGTGTCTGCTGCTCACTTTTTTTTAATTGCTCTTCACTGGCTGTTCATTGTGTACTTCGTTTGGTCTGCTCCTCTCAAAGATTGCCCCCCTCTGCTTTTTTTTTTTGGTTTCAAATTTTTATTTCATTTTGGTTTTCCTTTCTGAAACTCCATAAAGGCAGTCGCACACACGCACAGCTTCCACGTCGCCCTGTTCCACCGGCTAAACCGAGACGAACCAAGAAAGGTGTGTCTCGCTGCAGACCGCGGCTTCCCAGCCCCCCTCCTTTATTCTCTTCTCTGGTTTGCTTCTCTTTCTGCCTCTTTCACTGTAGCTTTTTGCTCTTCCAGTTGCTGCTTCTCACTCAGCGACCAGGGGGGATTTTTTAGGTCAGATACTGTAGTAATAAAATCAGACAGCTTCGCAGCAGCCTGGTGAAGTATTAGAACTCTGAAAAATCTTCACAATAGTTTCATTTTCGATATTTAGGGCAAAGTGTTCCACTTTGATTGTTGTAGGCTGTTTCACGTCTTCCCACATGCACACATACATCACTGAATCAGTCCTGTCAGCTTTCATTGACATTCATGTAATACATTGCAGACAAAGCAGCAGAATCTGTTATGGCCGTTCCAAATAGTTTTAATAAGTCCTCTGGGTGAAGGGCAAATTTATTGAATAAAGATCAATCAGTTTTAAAATTGACAAACTTTTACCTCCAGAGAAAATTCCAGCTTTAATCCTTTCCATATTTGTTGGCGTTTACTCTTTCATAAACATTTTTTCCGTGGTTGAACAACCGGTGGCTCTGCCGCTCGTAGCGGGAGAGATGCGAGTGGAGGGAGGCACATACCAGTGTTGAAGTCTAGCAGCAATTTAACAGCATCATAAATTATTTTTATGACTCAATAACCTCAAGCAATGTTTTAGTGTGATAACCTTTGAAATATGACTAGTTCCATTCAAAGCTTCATTCCAAAGCCTTTTTAGTAACTTTGTAATTGAAAATGACATTCAGTACAGCCTTGGTGGCTGTATGATGCTTATAGCTAAAAGAAAGTCCTTTTGGACAGTATTCTGCTCCGGTGTCACAACTGCATTACATGATCAGCTAAAGTTGTCTTGTCGAGACATTCATCCCCTCTGACCTGTGTGACTTTGTGTGATGACTGGGACTTGATACTGACTTCAGGCAGAGTTATTCTTTGTCCCTTTGAGGACTGCTGGCATTCTGTGATTGTGTCTCTGCTCTCTTCCCGTACCTCATCTCTTCCAGTGGAGTCTGCCGCGCTCTGGGAGGAGAGCGTAGACTCCCCCGGCCAAGGTTTGTAGTTGACCCGTTGACCCCTCTGCCTCTCTGCATGACGACCCTTTCTACGTCCACTGGAAGACCGCATGTGTTTACTTGCTTTTTTTATGCATTTACCCATCTGTGACCTTTGCCTTATTTGTTGGACTGCTGATAACACCACTGCTCACCTTCATTCATCCTGAGTAGGGACTGTTTGATTATTCGGGGGTAGATCCAAAACAAGGCTACCAAAAATGTAGGTGTTCTGTTGAGAAAGAATAATAAGCAAAATATATTTGCTATTTTAAAGCAGCATAAAATTAATAAAAGATTGTCACAGAGAAAAGGTGTCACAGAGAATAGTGCCAGTTGTCAGTTTGTTTTGTTGAACTATTTGAAAGCGTAGATTTGTGGTACCTGAACGTTTGTGTCCAAAACATGAGAAAATATGGTGCAGGTATGAAAAATACAAACGTTTCCCTTTTCATTTGTTGACTAACCCTGTTATAAAGTGCGCCTGTAAAGTATTCACCTAGCTTCACTTTTTTCACATTTTGTTATGGTATACCCTTATTCCAAAATTGATTAAATTATTTGTTTTCCTCAATTTCACACATAACACCCAATAATGACAAAGTGAAAAAGAATTGGGGGACATTTTTCTACTTGATTGGAGTCCACCTTGCTTTATTCAGTTGATTGCACACGATTTAGAAAGGCACACACCTGTCCTTATCAGGTCCAAGGAATTGTCTGTAGACCTCTGAGACAGAACTGTATTGAGACACAGATCTGGCAAAGGGTTCAGAAACATTTCTGCACTATTGAAGGTTCCAATGAGCACACTGACCTCAATCATCCGGAAATAAGAAGAACTTTGGAACCACAAGGACTGTTCCTGAAGTTGGCTTCCCAGCCAGACTGAGCGATCGTGGGAGAAGGGCCTTAGTCAGAGAGGTGAGCGTTGCTCTGTGAAGAGAGGAGAACCTTCCAGAAGGACAACTATCTGTGCAGCACTCCACAAATCAGGGCTGCATGGTCGAGTGGCCAGACGGAAGCCACTCCGTGGTAAAAAGCACGTGACGGCCCGCCTGGAGTTTGCCAGAAGGCAAATGAGTCTCAGACCATGAGAAACTAAATCCTCTGGTCTGAAACTAAGATTGAACTGTTTGGCCTGAATGCCAAGCGTCATGTCTGGAGGAAACCAGGCACCAGACTGTCAACAGGACAACGACCCGCAGCACACGGCCAAGACAACAAAGCGTCCCGGCCAGAGCCTTGACTTGAACTTGATTGTACATCTCTGGAGAGATTTTTTCCACTTTGTCGTTATGGGGTGTTGTGTGTCGAATTTTGAGGGGGAAAATTATTCAATTCATTTTGGAATTTGACTGTAACGTAACAAAATGTGGAAAAAGTGAAGCCCTGTGAATACTTTCCAGTTGCCCTGTATATGTCAGTCCCTTCACCTAACTCCCATTTTTCATTTCACAGTGAAATCATTAAATCATTTCAGTTGTCTTCACTTTTACAGCCAGAGGATTTTTCCAATGACCATAAAAGATGCTAACTCTCCCTCCTTATTTCAAATTTTCTTATTTCCTTGCATTTGACTGCAGTGGAGTGACCTTTCCTCAGCTTCGCATGCCGCTGAGTGATTCGCCTGTGCAGACCCGGGGCGCTGCATGCGGATAAGCTCATTGTAGAGGTGTTCCTCCTCTAACCGTTTGGCCGTCAGACTGTAATGTTTTCCTGCTCCCTTTGTGACCCACAGATCACCAGCAGACCGCCCCTGCTGCAGCAGCTGTGGGGAAACCGACCCCCGGCGCTCGCAGGATGCTCGCCATCTTTGATTATGATCCACGAGAGAGCTCCCCCAACACTGACATAGAGGTCAGAAATGCGTAATATTTTCATTTGCGGTCATTACACTCTCTACCGGCGGTAGTTTTTGCTAATTTGTCTGCCCTGTTTTTCATGACTGGATTCAGGCTGAGCTGACCTTCAGTGCCGGAGACATCATCCACGTGTTCGGAGACATGGACGAGGACGGCTTCTTCTACGTGAGTGTTAACGCGACTCAAGATAACAGTGGTCTGTTTGTTGCTCTTAGTGATGAGAGGTTCTTGTGTTCCCTTCCTGTCCCTAAATATGTTCATATATAAACTCACCGACTGCTGATCTACTGGAATTTTAACGCTCAACCATCTCTAGGGTTTACAGAGAATAATCCGAAAAAGAGAAAATCTGTGTGGACGAAAATGCCTTGTTGATGTGAGCGGTCAGAGGAGAATGGCAGACTGGTTTGAGATGATAGAAAGGCAACAGTAACGCAAATAACCACTAGTTACAACCATGGAATGCAGAATACCATCTCTGAACATTTCTGAACATCTCTTCAGCTGCAAAATTCCGATGGTAGGGTCAGAATTTGGCGTACATGAAAACATGGATCCATCTTGCCTTGGATCAACAGTTCAGGCTGGTGGTGGTGATGTAATGGTGTGGTGGATATTCTCCTGGCAGACTTTGGGCGCCTTAGTACCAATTGAGCATGAGCCCTTTATGACCACATTGTACCATCTTCTGATGGCTACTTCCAGCAGGATGATGCACCATGTGAGAAAGCTCATATCACCTCAAACTGGTTCCTTGAATGAGTTCACTGTACTCTAATGGCCTCCAGTCTCCACATCTCAATCCCATAGAGCAGTGATCCCCAACCTTTTTTACCTCACGGACCGTTTTCATGTCAGACAATATTTTGCGGACCGGTCGAGAAGGTCCGACGGGGGGTGTAGTAGTCGCGCGCTCTGTGTTCGCTGGTGGGCGAAACTGCCGTGCACGGTGAGAGAACAATTGTAAACGTGAAGAAAACGCCTGGTGACGCGTGGGGAATCTGTCAGAGCGACGAGCGCACATAATTAGGAGAAAATCCGGTCAATAAAACATTTTTCAGAAAAATATATATATATATATGCTTTCTGTGGTGCGGCCCGGTACCAAACGGCCCACGGACCGGTACCGTTGTTATGGATGCAGTTCTGGTGTCTGTACACAATCAGAGGAGTATTTCTTCATCAGAAGTGATCTTTTTTTTTAAAACACATTTTCTGTTTCTTAATGAAATGTACAATATATACTGTACATTGGTCTATTTTTATTTATTCAGTAAATAGTGGAATAAGGTTCTGACATCCGGTTATCATTTTTGCGAGATTCATTTTTTAACACAATATAAGAATAGAAAATAATACTAGGATTAAACATATCTTATATGTATTATCCCATTAGTAGTAATATAGCAGGCCTGTAACAATTCTTTTTTTCTTAAAAATGAATTGTTGAATTGTTTGGTCTATATAAAACATCAGAAATGGTAACTTTTTTTTAATCTTTATTTCTTAAAGCCCAATTCAACATGTTGTCTTTTTTATTTTAAACTATAAACCATGACGGCAACACATTTCTTACATTTAAGAACCTGTATACGTCAACATTCATGCTTGTAAAATTAATGATTAATCAATTGTTTGAATATCCGTTGACTTATTGTCTGTTGATTGACTAATAAGACGACCGCGTTCTCATGTCCTCGTGTAATCATTCTTCAGGGAGACTTGAATGGACTTAGCGGCTTGGTGCCCTCCAACTTCCTGCAGGCCGTACCAGACGATGCTCCAGCCACAGCTGCGTCTGCTCATCTTGCACCAGAACCCAGGAGAGAATCCCAGGTGACGTAGCACATCTGTCCGTCTAGCTTGCACTACTGTATTTGGAAACGTGGGCGATGCCTTCAGGCATACGTTACGTCTCACTTCATGCTGAGTTCATTTGAGTTTTTTCCATGTATTTGCAGCGTCTGGTTGCTTTGATTTTCTGTTCTGTTTCTTTAATTTGGCCCTGTCGCATTTCTTTCGCCCCACTATTTCCTGCATGGCCCTTTGCAGAAGCAGAAACGAAGTGTACACTTTGAGACTTGATCGTAAGTGTTCTCTGATCGCTCTGTCGCGGTCGCAGTGATCACAGCTAGTATCCCTGTTTACGTCCTTTTCCCTCCACCTTAACTGTCGTCCTGCACTCACCGATGGTTTTATCAGTTATGAGTTGTCAGATCCACTGCCTCCTCCTCTTTCTCCCCTCTTTGTTTCCTATCCTTGTATTCCCCCTTTAGACTACAGTTTCCAAGCACAGCTTATCTTTAGATATTGTTGAATATGTTTTCCGTCTTCATTCTAAAAGTCTTGACTTTCTTCCTGCAGGGGACGACTTCTACAGAGCCACAAGATCCTGAGCCGTCCACCCTGGAAGAAGTTGCTCACCCCCAAACAGTAGAACCAACCGAGCACACAGACCCTCCCCCCAGACTGTCCTCCACTGCAAGCCCCCCGTCGGACCTGGGCTCTGCTCCGGGTCCGGCTCCTGCAGCATTGGAGGCCAGCTGCCCCCCACCAGCAGACAGCCCGACGCAGGCGGACCGCTCGGCGCCGGCCAAGAAGAAGAAAGGCTTTTTCTCCAAAGGCAAGAAGCTGTTCAGAAAACTGGGATCCAGCAAGAGGGATTGAGTCAACAAAGTCATTAGCAGGAGTGACTAGCGTCACATTTAAAGCACTTTTTCTATCTTCACTGTTCGTCTCAGTTAGCAGCTGGTGCGATTGGGGGCCATCGGATCTAATAACTGATGCTTCCACCGTCAGTAATCGTATATTTGCCTTAAGGCACTGCTAGAAGCTGGTAAATATTCAAGTACATCAAAATACTGCTTACAGCAGCACACAAGCATGTCAAAGTGTGCAAACACAAATATATCTACCTAACTAAGCATTTGCTAAATTTGACTGTTTGTAGCTCACTGTCTCTTGATGTGTCGCTTATATGTAGAACAACTAGAACAATGTTTCACAGCACACAAGACTTCAGCCCAACTCCGACACGGCTAACAATATATTAGCGCTAATGTTCTCGAGCCATATTTATTTGAAGCAAACAAACAGAAGCAGTCGTCAGTACGAAAAATGCACTATCCAGATTGGATGTTTTTTAAATACCCGCTCGTCCCCTCGCATGCGTTTCTCGTCTTTAAGTATTTATACCGTGCTTTGTACAGAACGTGCTATTTATTTCTTATCCGACTCTTGCCCCAACCATCCCCACAATGCATGACGTGACATCGGGGCAGGAGGTTTAGTCATTTAGAGCAGCCACAGACGCTTTGATACATGTAGTTGAGATCAAATTAGTTATGGGGTTTTGAGGTTAGTAGTGAGTGTTTTACTGAAGGTAAAGAATGTGGAGGATCACCCTTCTTTCGTGTGTGTTTGTGTGTGTATGTCTGTCCACTGATGAGACTGAACAAGATGCCTTTCTCAGACGTCAACACGGGAACTCTAAAGAGAGCGAGAGAAAGAAAATAGTGCTCCAACTAATGATTGTGATTAAGGAAATCCAATAATTGTTTGACTTGTAGAACATCAACAGTATCAAGGTCTGGTTTATTATTATTTCTTAACATCAGAAGGAAATTCTCAGATTTGAGAATCCAAAACCCATCAATTATTTGATGTATTTTCTTAAATCACAATCTGTTATCAACGAATTGCCAAACTCATTTCTCTCCAATGACTGATGCACAGAATTAAAATCCCCGCCCCAATTGTCAAAAGGAAGACTGCTGCAACCGTCTATAACCCGCCCTGTGTGTATACCACCCTGTCCCGTTAGTTAGATTGCATTATAGATATGTGAAGATGGACAGATTCTGAGCCTTAGCACCGTCACAGGACTGTTCATTTTCATGGCTTTTGTCTTATTATTGTTCCATTTTAGAGGGAAAATCGTGCCCTAATGTTTTGAACTACATTTCCAGGATTTTAGGGGCTTGTGGGGATGTGAACATGTATAATATTCACAGGGTCCCAGAATTAGCTGTGGGCCACAAATTAATCCCTATTATGTATCCAATATTTTTACCAAATTGCCACCTTAAACAATGTACCCAATGATCGAACAGCACTTCCTGTTTTGCAGCGTCTCCACAAATGTACACAAAATGTAAAACTGCATTACTTCGCTAGTGAAAATGAGGGCGTCCCGAGGCAAGTTCTAGAGGCAATTTGTTGATGAAGTTGACAAACCGTCGGACTAATTAATCGATAGCAGCTCTAGCTAGTTAATCCTTCAAACAAACAAGTATTTTTAAGTATTATGTCAGACCGGCTCCCCAGCGTCTAATGGCACACGGCCCCGTAACTCAAAGTTCATCTGAATATGTTCAATTATTTAGTTTAAGCTAAATGAAATACAACTTTAGCAATACTGAGATACCAGAACAAAAATGGATGCATTCCGCTTTACTCTCGTTAAGAGGTATTGCGAGTGTTCAGTGTTGGCGGACCAGGCCTTCAGCGATTAACACACCCTGGTTGAGTCTGTTCTTCTGGGCGCTGCTGGGTAACTTCTCAGGTTTTCACTTGTAGTTTCTTATTGATGCGGAGCCACGTGTTGACTCTTGACTGTCAAAAACTGAAATATGCCAAAATCGTAGGTGCTTGGCCTGTTAGCACAGTGACGGGGGGCCTAGCATCCGGCAGCAGTGTGTGTGTGCGTGGGAAGGGGGGGGGTCCTTGTGGGGGCCAATCTGGGTCTAAGTGCGGAGCTTCGTTTCTTTTATAGGTCAGATCTGATTTCACAACAGTTGTTGACGTAGAAACACCTAATGACACAAGTTGGAGGCAAATTATTTTTTTCTCTTGCGTGTCTAATGTCCAGAATGTTTCAAATGTTTGTCGGCGTTGCATAATGGGAGCACGACGACGTCAAGCGCAAAAGGGAGGGTGGATCAACAAAGACACTTTAGACGTGAGATCGCCGGGATAGAGGCAAGACTGAGGCTGTGCTGTATGTTTTATTTATTTATTTTCCTCTCCTTTTTTCGTTTCTTATGTAAAGAGGTTTGAATGCTCAAACGTTGCCCAAATGTACAGCGACTATTTGTACCGCTCTTGTATTTGACGGCCTTCAATGAACAGGTATTCCTCTACCTGCTGTGCAGTGAGTAGGCGGTTGTTGACTGAATAGGACCTAGACACCCACATTGGTAGTATTTTAGCTGATCATATTTAGCCTTACAAGAATACCTTGTTTAGTCTCAATATGTTGTTTACAGGATGTTCATTGACTGCATGCATACCAATGTCGTACCCATGTTCGGCCTTAATATGTTACTGTCATATTTGTGTTTTTCCAGGGCAGACTTGTCTACAATATTATATTTGTAGATTTTCAATGCAGTGGAAAAGAAGCAATGTGTACATAATGAAGTGTTGGGACTTGTCCTATATTTTCGTACATCGCGGGAAACCTTTTTTTTTTTTCTTCTTCTTCTTCCCCGACCTGCATTCATTGTTTTAAAGATTTATCTTTTTATATATTCAGGTTTTTATTACCCTTTTTGAAGCGCACGTGTAAATATTTTTGTTAATATTGTTTTTCAGATATTTTCTTTTGTTGTTTTTGCACGTTTATGGAGTTTAACTGAAGATGTAGTACGCAGAGGACTTGAAACTGTGACTGTTTGGTTTCAATATGGATCTTTTTACAGGAATAAAGTATGTATATTTTCACAGAAAACATAAGTGTGTATGGTGCTCCTGGAATACAGAAGTTGGCACAAGTTGGTACTTTTTCCCTTTATCTTTATTGCATTTCACACAGATTACAGATTAACTCCTATCTTTTCTCTGGACAGTTGAAACCAGTGAAATCTAAAATGGAGGAAAGGGTTGCATGCTTCGCTCCGCGCTGCACGCCGCCCATGTGAACTGACGTGCAACACTCTGGGCGACGCAAGGCTTCGTGAGACAAAGCTGCTTCCGCTTTTGTGACTTCCTGCGTGCGGCTCCTCGCCGTCGCCTGTCTTCTCTGTTCCCCTGAAGCCAACAGTACACTCATCCATAAAGTAGGAAACACTACACTGTGGCGATGAGTTTAGTAGTGCTTTCTACTTTATGGATGACTGCACTGTACATCCGCTGCTTGTTGTCCGTCTTCTTCCACTTCTCTCTTCTCCTGCACCTGCCTCTGCAGCTGCACCGCACCCCTTCGGGCAGATGCACACTTTTTAAACCCAACGTAGAAAAGTCTCGTCCCTTTAATGTCAAACCAGAAAATGCGCACTTCATGATTTTCTTTGAAACATTTGCATGCATTTTCTTCTTTACAATCCAAGCAGGGCCTTTTTGAGGGAGGGAAAAGAATCCTCCAAAAGGCCTCACCCATGTGCAGCAGCAGAAGTCAAAACTAAGCCGCCTGGTGAAGGAAGCGCTATCTTGAGGAAGCCATTTTGGCCACCGTGAGTAAGCTTTTCTAACCAGATCACTTCGTACATTGAAACGTTTTCTAGAACGACGGCAGTCATTAGAGAACAGTTGAGCATCAAAGTAGACATCAAGAAGATCCAGTAGATACATTGAACACTTATATTAAAAAATAAAATAATATAAAAAATCTTTCAGTATTGTGTTTTTTAATCTAAATACCAAATGGACTTCTGAATAAGTCACTCTGTGAAAGGTTCAAAAGAAATGCAGAGGAAAAAAAGTAAAAGATCTTTCATACCAAGCTTCTCTTTTCACCTTGTCGACACAAATAGTTTTAGCGTTAAATGCAGAGTGGACCAGCATACATTACCCCGACCGCCACGTCTTTTCTGTTGTTTCGAGTGAGGACGGCCCCGGGGAGGCGTCTCACGGGTGTCTTCTGTCTGTCCAAGGACTGAAAGAAGAAGAAGAAGTTGTCTCCTTTTGAACCCTTCCACGACCACGTGATGTAACCACAGGAAGAGGTCTAACAGTCACAGCCGCTCCGCTTCTCCTCTTCCGCCCTGACTGCTTGCCTTCTGCAGGCGCTTTTTTAAAACGCTGACGGCAACTTAGAAGAGACCTTTTCGATCACACTGTTACAAACGTAAATGGTTAACATGTACGATACGTTCAAGTAAAAAGAAACATACGCTAATTGTTCTTTTATTTGGCTCCTTTCTCTTAATAAACTATCATGTCTTTTTTTTTCTTCAACAGAACTGTATCTACGCAGTCAAGTGATGATGTAATTGATTCCTGTGTAGAAATTCAGTAGCTTTGTGCATCTTTTTGTGAAGTTGGCTAATGAACCCATAACGAAGTGGTGATAGATTACGACACACAGCAGGTGTGAGCATATCTGCAGCTTTCCCATCAGGTGGCTGTGACCTTTATACAGCGCCTTTAACGTATATCAGATTCCCTTTATCGACATTCACTCATGATCTTCCCCTCACTAGAAGTGGCAGTCCTTCACATACGTTTCCGTCAGATTTAATCATTTTAGTTTTTTTTTTGAGGGAAGCAAGGCCCACCAGCCCAGAACATCTCGTTTCTCACTTAGTACTCCCCCGTGTAGTGATGTATATCAGAAAAGGCATTAAGAGGAGCGTTCTTTTCCCGAGGTTTAAGACCGACTTAAGATAGGACTTTTTAAAGAGCCTGTTTTGGGCTGTTTGCGTCACTCATTACATTACCTTGTTGGTAATCTGTTGGATTTCAAAAGTGAAAGGCAGCTGGTTTCAGTTCCTCGTAAATGTCCAACTGTAACCGGGGGGTTTCTCATAACGCTAACCTGGGGAGGGGGTTTGGCGGTGAGCTCTGTACTGCATGCATGGAACTAATGCGCCTTTTTACAACCCTAAGAGAAAACCCTTTTCCGTCTCTTGATCAGAAGACTCTGCTTTTGTATTTTACACTCTGATCGGGGTCACCAAAAGCCAGCTGCTTGTGTGCACTGTGCCATTTGCTGGTTAACAAGCGTAACTCACAATGTTCTAAAGCTCCAAATGAGTCCGTTACTTTTAAAAATAAACTGCTTTATGTACTTGCGTGCTGTTAAGTGTTGACAAGAAGACAAAACAGTTTGTCCCTTCCATTATTTGTGGTCTTCACCCCAGCTACTTCCTATTTCTCTTCTTCCTTTTTAGTCTTTTTAAACCACGTCTGAAAAGCTCTTTATCTGTGTATTGAAGTGTCCTTTAAGAGAAAGATGTCAGGAACCCGTTATGTAGAGCTGTTACGTGAATTTACGCAGAAATACTCTGATCCCTAAGCTCAATGAGCAATGCAAGTAAAAAGTACTACTTCATCATAAAGTTCTTCAGCAGAGTAAATGCGCTATAGCTTCCCTTCCGACCCCTCAGTGTGTGCAGGGTCCGCGAGCGTTCTTACATTGATTTTCTCATTGAGGATTCAAAACATTTTTGACATGGTTGGGTCTCCTAACATTAATCCCACGATATATATTCCTGATCACCCGTGCATGTTGGTTAAAGTCAGAGAGGAAAAAGAGCGGATGTACAACGCCGATGGGTTTGTGTCCAGCATACAACAAAGTCATCGGAAAGCAGATGACCTGGTTGCGACGCATCGCTTCCTAAAAGAAGAGGGAGGTGATGTCAGCTGGTGCACCAGATAAATAAGGGTCTCATACTGAATGTACGAGACTTAATGAGACGAAACGGGAGCCTGAACACGTGGCTCACAATGCAGAGCCGTTTTAAAACATCCGACATATGGTCTCTTTAAAAGCCACACAGTTTTTTCTTTTTTCAATCCTCATCCTCAATCCAAATCTCCTGACCCTACCCTGCGTCCGCTGAAGTGCTGCCGCCTCGTGAGGCCGTCGAACACAAGTGTCTGTACCCAAGAGTGCGACGATTAAGTGCTGTAAAGCCGGGCCCTGATAGACCTTATCAGGGCTGACAGCCATTTCCCCTCCCAAAGCTTCGCTCCCCAGCCGCCTCCTGGGCCAAGCACAGGGCCGAGCCACCCAGATGCTTATTTCAGTCCCAGGCCTGCGAGCTCCACAGAGGTCCTGAGCTGCTCTCGACGGCTCCTGCTGCAGAGCTCCGGTGTAGTGTACTTGGGTCAACTTCTGAGGTACTTGCACGTTAATCTAGCAAGTGCATTTTATATATATATTTGACAGCTGGGGGTTCTTCTCAGGTCAAGAGTTTAATATGAGCTGTTGAGTTGCACCAGTTCCATTTGCCCTGCAAACTTCTAACATGGTGTCATTTAATGTGAGTCCAGGCTCATTTTGGCAAACTCTCAAGGAGTTAGTGTTCTATATATGGAGAAGTGTAGAGAAAAAAATGCATGAAATAAAACCACAATGGGGCCTGTAGGTAATAAACAATAGGTAATTTACAGATTTAGAATAAAGATCAGGATCTACAGACATAAATGTGTGTGTGTGTGTGTGTGTGTGTGTGTGTGAGAGAGAGAGAGAGAGAGAGAGTCCCACATCAGCATGTGCAGCTGTTTCTCAGGTTGTCTCTGCATGATATAATAATCATAACTCATGTGGGTATAAATAAAATGATTATTATGATTATTATAAATAATATAACTCATGTGGGTATAAATAAAACATACTAAGTGCATTCTGTTGAATAGACGGAAAATAAAGTTAAATTTAAATCGTGTTCAAGGCCGAGATATCAATGTCAAACTTCTTTTTTTTTCTTTTTTTTTTACTAAAAAAGCAAATTAAAAAGACTACACGGTGGGGAAAAAATGAAAGACATTTGTGTGAGGGAACTTTCCTCTTTTCAAACTCATTAATCATCTCACCATTTCTAGTTGGACAGCGACGGGAGGTTTTGTCACCCTGACGAAACACACACACACACACACACACACTAGTTTGTGTGTGGTCGTCAGTTGAAAATGACCATCCCCCGTGTAGAACACGTCCCCTTTACTTCCCCATCTACACTTTATCCCCGTCATGCAGAGCGCCCTGCTACACCGAGAAGCCTCCACTTGCTTCATCAGTTTGTATTTACTAACAGAGCTCACCAAGCAGCCGAGACAACACCTCGTTCTCTGACCGACCTTCCCCGCAACTCAAATACTTGAAATATCCAAATAAGGGCAAACGCTATGGGCCGGGGCCGAGGCGGACCGGGGCCCCATGTGAGTGTGAAAACAAAGAGCACGGGCGGAGCCGAGAGGCTTCCTGACAACGTCTGTGTGGTCGTGGAGCGCGGTCTGTTCTCTGTTTCGTTTTAGTTTGTAGCTTTCTTACTTCACTCACATGCAGTTTGAAGAGAAAACGTTCCACGTCAACCGGTGGGGTAGTGATGAAAAACGTAGTCTTTTTTAACTGAAGTTATTTGGCTTTTTACTATTTTTAAGAAAAAGACCTGTCATCCAGTCATGTGCTCAGTTTGGCATCACATTAAAACCCCACATGGAGGCGTACTAACGTTTTATTTTCCTCTTATTGGAATATAAACGGTCTCTCATCACTCTACGGATCAGTACATTTGAATATTTATTGGCATTTAGGTGTTGTTTTTTTAATTTTAGTTCCTTTTCTATTTGAATAAGTAAAATCTGAGTTCAAAACTGCAAATAGATTGAACTGTGTTTTACCCCAGAAGAAGCGATGTTGGTCCTGTCCAATGGATGTTAACGTTACTGATGTATTTTCTCACTTGTAAAATCTCTGCATTCCAGACATAACGGTTGTGGGATTTCTTAAATCGATCCGAGAATCATTTCACCTTGTGAACTGCTAGACTATTGGCGGCTGCACATGCGAGAATCATTTCGTACCCGGTTTTTCACGCTCTGACTCACAGGGGTATTCCAGCATGCATGTTGCACAAGTCGGAGAAGAACCCTGAATAGACCATCAAGCAGCCACTCACACTTCCTGTTTACACTTTCAGTGTCTCGGCCCACCTGAGCTGGATTTCACACAGGACATTCAACATCCATAATACTGATGAGAAACGTTATCTATACAACACTTATAAAGTCCAATAAGTTTAATTTGTTGTCAGTGAACAACAAAATATTGTTAATTTTGCTCTTTGCTGCGTAAATGCAATGGAAACGTTACATTACACATGAATTCCTAAAAGTCAACTGCTGACTGTTCCCTTGTCCTGCGACAGTCAGCTAAAACCAAACAGACATTTTAACAATTATCACATGAGATAAAATACACCTGTAACAAGTTACGTAGTGACGCTGCTCTTTCTGCTAAACTTGACGATCACAAACAATCATGAATGATCCTGTAAAGTGTTAAAACGGTTGCTCCGAACAACCTACATTGAGAGAGAGAGATGTGTGCTGATCTTAACTCGATCTAGCCGAGCCCTCACACGCTATGTGAGGCCACAGCGTCACGGCCTTCAAAGAGACAACAAATCGACGTGTTCCGCTCTCACGCATCCTGCAGTGCAAGACGCCCGAGGATGTCAGTAGTCCAAGTACAATTAAAAGGAGAGAGAAAAAAATGGTTTTGACAAATGTTATTCTCGCATGCATCCCGCCATTACTAGTTTTTGCAAGACACCAAAACACCAATGGTTATCCTCATGAGTACTGACCCAACAACCATTAGTCTCTACGGTTCACTCTCTACTTTTAGTCAAGCCAAAAGTGGAGGAGACAGGAGGACGGGGAGCTTACGATCAGGGACTGGTTACAGCAGCAGGAAATACTTTGCACTCCTGTTTGCAAACGTAAATGGTAAATGGACTGTACTTGTATAGCGCTTTTCTAGTCTTCCGACCAGTCAAAGCGCTTTAACACTACATTACATCATTCCCCCATTCACACCCATTAATACACTGATGACAGGAGAACCACACACAGTGACACCTGCCATCAGTAACTAACATTCACACACTGTAGTCGCAGCTACAGGAGCAATGTTGGGTTAAGTGTCTTGCCCAAGGACACAACGACATGCGGGTCAGCAGAGCCTGGGATCAAACCGGCAACCCTGATTGGAGGACGGCCGTGCTCCCCACTCACCCACAGTCGCCCAACGTGATAGCTGCTACGTTAAGTGAGTCATGGTATCTTTATTTGGAGGACATTTGTTAGTGCGTCTTTAAAAGGTAACTCACCAAATAATATAACGTTAACTAACTTTAGTTGATACTTTGACTCATGATGGTCATCATTCCTTTGGTCGTATTTATTTGAATATTATATTATTTTGTTTCGTTACTTATAGCAGCGGTGGCGGCTGGTCCATTGACGCCAATGGGGGGGGCCCCCACCCCACCAAAACAACATTGTCATTTTTGTTTATATTAAAAATACATTTTACAAATAGTCAATGTTTGTGTATTTGAAACATGGATTATGTACCTGGTAATATTGTAAATTAAGATATCTGCACAAAATATATTCTTTTCATGCATGTCCCAAAAGGCAGAAGGGTCTAAGAAGCAGTTAGCCAATCACCGATAAAGGTAATCAGCGACATTGTAATTTCAGGGCCCTAAAATACATTGAGATTTGGGGCCAGACCTGGACTCTCCGGGCGAGTCTCGAGTCTCGCGACGCGCCCATTTAGCGACATGACAATGGCGTTATGTTGGAGTGTCCCCCCAACAAGACCAAACCCGAACTCGGTACATTCTCTCCGTACCGTTTGTCAGAAGAACGTTTCGCGGAGAAACTAGAGGTAAGACAGCTAGACCCAGATCAGCCGGACCTCGCGTTCAGAACACGGACCGACGTGAAAGGGGAGCCGAGGCTTCTGTAGAGATGCTACACCGGCATGTTTAGCTAGCTAGTTAGCTACATGCTAACACCGCATATTCGCGCACCTCGCGCATGACAGCTGCGACGCACACAGGACTGCGGTGAGGACACACAACCAGGACGTGGATGAAAACCGGCACATTTTATCCAAAATAGTCAATTGTGTGAAGTTTTGAGGGTCTTTCCTCAACACACAGATCGGGTGTTTCCTCAACCAACATATGTTAGGTGCATCTCAATGTATAGCCTACATATACATGTGCTAATAGATTTTATATGAATATATTTTGTCCTTTATTATGTTAAACTATTGGAATACATGTTAAATATTTAACTGCAAAGTAATAATGCGTGTTTGATACCCGTTTTCGCATTGAATAGTACTGGTTGGCCCCTGCCAAAAAATAAATCAACCAGCCGCCACTGCATAGCAGTCTATGCTAGTCTGAGTTAACTTCCCTGCTAGCATTTTAACCAGTTTTCAACGTGATTTTCAATATTGGCCGTAAACATACAAATGTGAACGTAGTTTCTCTGCAAACCTCTAAATAATGATAGAACTTAACGAAACGTGGAGGATGAAACATTTATTGTCCGTTGAAGTGAAATAAACTACACCAATTTTCGACACCTTTTCAACGGTGGTCATGGACGTCTTTCTAACAACGGGCTGCTGTGCTTTAGCGCCGCCCGTTGGTCGCTGTGTCGCACGCGGCACCTTCATTTTCCGACGTGCGCTCTCTGTCCGCTGGCGGGCGCGCGCTCACGCGAGCACGTGTCTGTTTGTGCCCATCGGGACGGAACTCCCACGTGCACAACGGCCAATGGACAACAAGTTGAAGACGGGGGACGCTGCTCCGAGGCCCCGTTGTGTGGGGAATCCGGTTTAAAGCGCCGCATTGTGTTTCTCCGTTTACAGCCACGCGGGCTTTAACTTTAGCTGCGTGTCTGGCATTGTACGCGTTACTGTGTGAGACAAGGGGGTTTGATCCCGTTATTAAACTCGCTCATCTGGTGAACAATGATATTATCCATAGAATAATTTTATTAAATGTGTTTATTCTGGCTGATCATCATCGTATCATTTGTTTTGATCTTTTCTAATTCATTATATTATGTCTGTATTTTTACACAGGGCTTGTATGTGAACATCTGCATGGACCGCCAGAAAATGTTCGTCAACATTCCAGGAGAATTACTGATCGGGATAATTGAGTTGGTCTTCATTCCTCTGGTTACGACAGGTGTGGTACTAGGTTAGCCAGTGCATCAACTGCAGAGCTGCCAACTCTCACGGTTTTGCCATGTGACACACACTTTTGTTTTCACACGCACTCACGCCACACAAAAAAAAATCAGATTTTTGTCCGGGACTCATTCATTCCTTTTCAAACTCCCCGACAGTAGATGGCGTAGACAGAGCCCATCTGTAACCCTGTTTGCTGCATAGACGTCCTTTCTCAATACCTAAGACTGCAGGCTTGTGTTCCCAGGAGAACAGACAGATTCGGGAGTCCTGACTCATGGGGACGGGACAACGGTCATTGCCGCAATTGGAACAGCAGCTGATTTGATGACGTCACCGCGTCAGCTGGTCTTGCTAATACAGTTCTGGACTGTTAAGTATTTTACTATCAAGCTTATTTAGTTTTTTAACATAAAAAACCTTTTCAGGGTGTTCACTTCATTGTTGGCGCGAGAAAGTGTGATATATTAACATTGTATCCAGTCCCGAGCAGTGAAGCGCCAGCTCTGCCTCTGTTGTTTCCGTGGTACATGGGGAATTGCCCTTGTGTAGTCTTTAAACTCTTTAAAGACTGGAAAACCTTGGAAAAGGCTGTTGTTTAGTAAACAACCCAATGCGGTCTTTAAAAAGATGTAGAAAGCCTGTAAAAATGCTAGAAGCCTTGTTGGTAAATGGTTTGATGTAGCTTTGGAAAATGGTGACAAATGTTTCAAAAGACTACTAAAGTCTGTAAAGGACCAATGTCGCTAATTAATATATATATATAGTTGTATTTTTTAAATACAAACTACACACACTTTGCTCTCAACTCTCCATCATTTGACGTCTATGTTCGTAGTGAGACATTTAGCCAGGACGTTTTACAAACCAGGGACACAGCGGTGATCCTCTGCCCCGCAGATGTTGAGATGCATGTAGCCTAGCAGCTACCAACATGTTTGGGCACTAGCAGCCCTAAAGTGGTCCGTGTGCCACTCATACTCCTTGTGTTTGGCTCACTACTTGCAGTATTTTAATCATTTCTGTCACAGGGATGGAATGCATTGTACATCTTTTCCGTTGTTCATACTGTACACATGACATGCGGCAGTCTGTCCATTCCGGGAGAGAGAACCCTCATCTGACCTTCTCCCAAAGGTTTCTTCCCTTTTCTCTATTGAAAGGTTTTCATTTTTTGGGTAGTTTTTCCTGTGCTGATGTGAGGGTTTTGGGACGGAGGATGTCGCATGTGTACAGACTGCAAAGCCCTCCGAGGCCAATTGGTAATGTGTGATTTTGGGCTATACAAAAATGAATTGAATATAACAGAATAGTTGGACACAGGGAGGAATTCTTCTGCACAGTTCTTCTGGTTATTTTACTTCCAACGCAAAAAGCTCTCTCCATCTTCCACTAGCGTCTCGCTCACTGATTTAACTGAGTTTGGGGGGTGGTGGTTCGCCGTGGCACCTCGGTGACAGTCGTCTGTCTGGCGTCCCAAAAAGTGACACTCGATCCGCACCCCACAAGACGCCGCCAAGCTATCTTTTGTTCTTTATTGACCTGAGTGCAGTTTCATTTCTCTAAATATCGTATTAATTTCTTGGGTTTGATTTTGTCAGCTGAGCATGTTGTTCTGTTTGTCTCGGACTGCCACTTAGTTTTGCCTATTGTTTCTATTGTCACTAGTCAGAGGATTAACCTGCTGCCACAAGACTACCAATATATGTCTATATATGTTATTCAAAAATACCACTTGTATAAGGTTATGTTTCGCTCAATTTAGGTTCTTTTTTTGTTCTATTTTCAATGAAAAGTGCTATTGAAACTTAAATTCTGTTACACATGAGAACACAAATATTTGCCTAATCAACCACCGCTCCTGTCTATAACTCCACCGTAGTATATTATTTTATGTATGTGTATGATTGCTCTTAAAAACACGCATTGTGACTCAAAGCTCTGCCATACTGCCAGTAACTTTGCGGTGCTGTGAGAGAAGGAACGGGATTGACCGTAGAATCACCCGCTTCACGCTGCCCATCGCCCCCAGCCTCAACATGGACGGGACCAACCATCGGGTCAGTGGCAGTTAATGATTCTCTTTTCTGTTCCAGAATCGAAAGAAATCATAGATATCAATTAAGATGACATAATATGGCATTTGATGATGGTTTGGTGACTTCAGTGGTCTCCAGTCTGGGATCATCAGGGCTCCCAGCTGTGAGAGCCGTGACCACCGTCTTTCTCTTGTCATCAGTAGGCATACCTGCGAAGTGACCGTGGTGACGGTGGAATGGCTGCTGTAAGTTTTAATGCTTGCACAAAATGGAGTTAATGTATTGTGTCCTGTTGCTGTATGTTTTGCTAACATGGTTTACGCGATCGCCGTCTTCCAGACACCGCTGAGAACACTGTTGTCCAAGTGTTGGGAGACTCCTTCAGCGCGTCACTGATCCACCAGCTGTGATCTGGGAGAAGAAGTAAGCGTTGTTTTTACAGAGTACGTTGGTAGGTAGTGTGGAATTTGACAGCATTTTTCCAGACTTCAGAAAACGAATAAGTAAATAAGAGGTTTTAAGACGCTTTGTGGCCAAAGGAAAACAGGCCCCTTGTACATCAGACACAGATGTTACGGCAACAGCTGGAGACGGTTCAACATATGCTTTGGAGTTTTTAAAGTTTGTGTCACACTATTGACGAGTGGGTTGTGTTTTTTCTGACTAGACGTCTAATGAAAATGCTATGGGACACATCCAGGATAAGCAGGTCCGCTCCACTGCGCGCCGATGACTCCCTCTGCCACCCACCAGAATGTATTATTATTATTATTATGTAACCAAAGAAAAGTTGCCTCTGAAAAGGTTTCTCTCTCTAGAACTAAAAAAAGAGTTTCAAAGTAGGGTGATATGCATTTCTTTTGTAAGGCATTAGTACTAATGTAATTTATTGTGTTAGTAGTTGCCTTTAATAGATACATACACCTTCACATCTTCCGCCGCAAACTAAAGACACACCTCTTCAGACTCTACCTCGACTAAAAGACTAATAAATTGTAGCACTTAATTGTACATGTAACGTCACTCATCTATAGCAAATTGTAAATTGGCTTTTTTGAGGAAATTGCACTTTCTTGTTTCTTGCCCTATGGTTAGATGCACTTATTGTATGTCCCTTTGGATAAAAGCGTCAGCTAAATGACATGTAATGTAATGCAGTAGTAATAATAGTCACGTCATTTATAGTGTTAGTAGTTGCCTTTGATAGATAGAGGAGTTGTTTTGTAATGTAGTAGTATTAATAGTCATGTAATTGAAATCATCTGTTGATTTTCCGTGGACTTTTTTTTATATAAATCAGTGTTTCTTCTAGGTTTACAACTTCAGGGGGTCTGGGGGGAGGTGGAATAGTCGGACGAACGGTTCGGCTGACGATGGGGGGGTAGTAGTCTTAAACGTATATGTCCTAAACGGACATATTTGTGCTGTGCCATGTGTTGGTGTGGAACTGCTGTGCGTGGGAGAATTATATATTTTTTTATATGTCTTAGTGTCAATATAGTACTGCAGAGGTAAAAGCATCATTATATATGTAACTGGGTCAGACTGAATCACACTATCATACCACCCTCGCCTTCTATGCTAACACCACTAAGCTCTCGTGCACCAGTTTCGGTGTACAGAGGTTGTGCAAGATGATTTCAGTTTCAGTCACACTATGGAGGGGATTGTCTCAGTCAATGCATTTGGTTGGAATTCCATTATTTGGCAGAAAAGGTCATCCACAGAAGCCCAAATTAAGATTTTTAGAGAGATGGTCAAGGCGAGTTTATTTGTATAGCACATTTCAACAGCAAGGCCATTCAAAGTGATTCACATTAAACTACTTAAAGAATAGAAATAGTGTGCATGTGCCGATTGTCACTTTTCTTTATTCAAACAGTTCAAATTTCACAGTTCAGTCAATATAATACGCAGTACCTTTTAATTTCATTCCCCATGGTGACCGCACAGACATCTGGTAGATTGAATAGAGAGCGGATGCATGCTGCTGCCTTTTATTTTCACTGTTTTTCAGACATATTAGTGTTTTAAAGTGACACATTTCCAAAAGCTCATGTTGCCTTGATTTAAATACCCAACGTTAAATGGTATGCTGAGCTCGCAGGCCGATCTCCTGAAGCCCAGAGAAGAGGTGACCGTTGGGGGGTTCGTACTTAAGCTTCTCAAGAACACTTCAAACTCATAAATATCACTCATTCCCATTACACTCACGTTTTAATTGCCAGGGTGCAAAAATGTTCTAGATGCAGAAGAGATTAATTAGTCTTGGTGTGAACAGTAAAGGGTTTGTTTGTTACAGGCAGAGTCATTAACCAGCATAATTTGGTAATGACATCACAAATAGATCTCATTAGCAGAGGGAGGAGAGAAGCCTGTAGTCTAGGGTCACCATGTCCTTCTAGATGATAAAAGCCCCCTTAGGAAATACTATTGATGGTCAATGTCGGTACACTTTTTACACATACCAAGCAGTGAATAAATAAGGTTTTTGTTTATTTATTAATCCCAAAGGGGAAAGTTTTTTTGGCAAGTCAATAGCAAGAGCTCACTGTGTTTCCTTCCAGAGATTTAAGAAGTCCTGTGTTTATGTGTGACTGATACATTCCCTCCCGAGCCTCTAGCAGTAAACAAATCTTCCTTTAAAAGGTATATAAGCCAATATCATAGTGGCATAGTTGAACAGTGATACAGGACGACAACCCCAAATAACTCAGATGTTATTTACGGCGTATTATACCATGAAACCGCAGTGCTGGAAACTAGAAAGCATTTTAAATTCAAGCAGGGAAACTATGAGACAAGTACAAAAAATACAAATGTTTCCCACTACTGGCAATGTTTGGTACTGCTTGTAATTTCATCAGTCGGTGAGAAGCACCATCGTGTGACCCAAATAAAGAGGTACACAGGTGTCGTATTGTGATACGAATCTTTACTTTCTCTTCTCTGGTGTATGAAATCAGTCAAAGTTATTGTATTATGCAAAAACAAGTTGACAAATGTGCTTGTGTGAAATGTACACTGTGGACCTTGATGAGTTTTCTTCTTATTTTCTTACTAGTATAAAGTTGTTCCTAACAAGAATTTCTGGCTATTGACAATTTATCAGAGAGTGTGCGTAATCATCTTTTGAACCGGGTCACAAATGTGACACCTGCCATGTCGGTCACTGTCAACTGGATAAACAAATGCTTGTCCCCGAATCAACTTTGCTATAAACCATAACTCACATTTCTTATAAACAAAAGACCTTTTATTTTCCTCATTTATCCAAGAAATACAAAAAAACAGCCACTTCTTCTCCCCTATATGCACCGATGCTAATATTTTGAATCAAACACAAAGTGATGGGCAGTTTGTTACAACGTCACAGACATGATCAGGTACAGTCCCACATTTGTTCATTCTTTCTGGGAGTTGTCGCTGTAATCGCACACGGCTATGGTGTCACTGAACAGACAACTGGAACTCGTCGGGTTTATGACTTCACTGCTGTGTCTCTGGATTTGTAGATCACTCCTCTGCTTTTCAACTCTCTCACCACACCTTTAGAAAAGAAAATGAAACAGGCAATCCTCATCAATGATGGAATTCCCAGGGTTCATACACATTTTGACCAGTGGATTTACATCACATTTCCATGACTTCAAACTAAATGTTCATGACCAAATAAGTGTGAAATCTCAGTGTATACATGAAAGTGAGAAAATGTAGTATTTAAACTAACAATGAGAATACCAAAGCATTAAGTGTTTCCCCCACCATTGAATCTCAAGATGTTATAATCATACAATTATCCACTATGGATCAGTATCGTTTGGGGGTTTCCTGATATCAGTGCTAAAACGATACTTATAAAACATACCGGTGCCTAAAACAATACTTGCTTTCCATTATTTTACTTCAAATTATGGACAATACATGAACTGTTAACAGTTAACAGTAGACAACAGTCTCTGTAAGAGCCCGAAGTGTATGTATTACTTCATTGGAATTTTGGGAATATTAATCATTTAATATATGGTCATTGTGCAGGAACTAAGCATATGTAACTTGTATTGAACGCATCTATGTTGGATTGACGCTCCTTGTGTGTCTCCATGTATTGACGTTGCGATTGCAGTAGGTGCAACACAGAACAGCTGCATTAGGCACAAGAGCATATCGTTTATCTGCCGTGTGACAGAATGTAGTAATTGTATATTATGTTGACGCATTGCAGCATAGAATAAACACAAAACGAAAAGAATCAAATGATCTGTCATTCGAGGAGAAAAATTAAGTCACGTGTCTGCAGCTTAATACGGCTCAATGACAAAGAAAACCGAAGCAACGCCGCAACACCCTCTGTTTACAACTTGGAACGGCTGCTGGCAGACGGGCAGCGCACGTCGGAAAATGTCGGTGTCGCGTACAGCGCCGGTGGCCGAAGAGAGAGACGTGCTGTTCGGCACGGTGGCTTCGCTAGCAGTCGCCCTCTGATGGGGTTTCTGTAGTAGCTTCGCTAGCAGCGGCGCAGTGATGTCTGCTTCCTTTAGCACGGCTTGTTAATGCCGCTCTCCCATGTTTAAAATATATCATATTCCGCCTCCACATTACTTACATTCTGTTCGTCCCGGGTCTTTGTTTGTCGTAACTCATGAGATGCACTTTTCCATATGTAGCCAACCACGGTTAAATCTACACTTCCCTGACACTGGATGATTCCTGAGCTACCGAACTTTTCAGTTAAGGCGCCTTTACACAGCCGCGGTGCAAATTATTTGCGCTGCGAGTATCAGAGCGTCCTGCATCTCTTTAAAACCATATGAATGATTTCAAACGTAATCTTAAATGAACCACATGACCATAGAAATATAACAAATTTCCAGGACTTTTGCAAAACCTTTAAGATTTCATTTCTTTCCATGACTTTTCCAGGCCTGGAAATGACCATTTTGAAATTCCATGACTTTTCCAGGTTTTCCATGACCGTACGAATCCTGAATTCCAATCAAGAAAAAGCCAAACATTACATTTGATGCATATGGAGGTGGATTAGTTTAAATAAAGTGTACCTGGAGGTAGTCTGCCCGTTACCGACACTGCATATACACCTGGCTTAAAGTTGCCTGTAGGATGGAGAAAATATAAACAATTTTAAAAACATGTATCCATAGCTTAGGGACGGCATACCGTGAAGCTTACTTAAGAGTTCTTCTACTCTGTCTTCTTCACATTTCCTTACCTATCCTCTGCCATTTAGCTACCCAGCTGTCGTCAGGACTCATCATGGATATCACACTGTGGACACACAGACAGTAAATGATAAACATCTAGAAAACAAAGAAAAGCTTTGTTGTTGTTGTTTTGAAATACATGCTAAAATCAATGTTTACCCATCAAACGAGGAGCTTGTGCATTCATAAACCATCTCCCGGTTCCCCTTCATCTGGAGGTACGACTCACAGTTGTCACAGCCGTCGTATTCAAACTGGTCGATGGTCTAAAGAAAACAAGTAGAAGGGAGAACTCTTAAATCAAGGACAATAATAACAGCAAAGAATGGATACAAACTACACATCAGGACACAGCGTTGGGTGTACAGTGACCACCTTCGCCAAACATCTGGTGTTTAATATAATATGTTTATTGTTACACTAATATGAGATATAGATGGCTAATTACGAAATGTTTTCGCTACAAAATAATGTTTACGTTTGAGTGCGCAATATGCAGAAAACATATTTTACAGTATTAAGTTGCAATATGCAAAGACCTAGCGTTAAACAAACAAAACGGAGAGACTCTTGAATAAAGTAAAGTTACATTAATGATTAAAGCACTTGGGTTAACACTATGTTTGAATCTGGTTAACGATGGTAGAGGAACAAATCAGACCAGGCGTCTTAATGTAAACAAGCATGGGAAAGCGTACGTCTGTGTATTGGTGTTATTAAGTGAATTATGGTCACTGTGAACGCGTTTACGTTTCATTTAATGTTACGCAACCAGAAAACTAGAGCACAGGAACCGGCTACACGTTAGCAAATAAGCTAGTTTGAGCGTTGCTTTATGGCGATTAACCGCTTACCTTCACTAAAGAACAAAGGAGACAGGCTCGCAGATGGCGCAGGTCTTTGGGGACAGTTTCCAACGCCATTGTGTTCCGCTCTCGAATAAAATACTAGTGTAAAACTGAAATATCAAACGGATTATTGTTTTGAATGATTCCAGTCGCGGGGGAATTACGTCACAGACCGAGGGCCTTATTATCCCAGCGGAAGGGTAGACGTGTTGCGCCTGTGTAAAACTAGTTATATCGCCAGTTTTTAAAACAATTATTTCAATTACAGGGACTATGTTTGAGTTATTATGCTTTAACGCACTCTGTATAGTAATTCAAATATGTCCTTTTTATGCATATGCTTAAGACTAAATTACATTTATAGTCATGCATAAATATATTCCAACCATCGGGATCCAGAAGAGGGAAAATGTGGTGCCTGCTGAAATATTTGAATGTTGAAATGCTAAAACGAATTTTTTTATGGATGGATAGACCGTGGAAGGGTTCAAGCTTCTTGTATCTCTAAAGGAAGACCATCTGGATACTTAAAACGAAAACTAACTTATTGTGAACATTTTAAGATCCTGTATATTCTCTTGACTGTTGATAATGCTGCTGTGATTACTTGGAAGAGCTCTGTGATTTCTGTAAAAAAGTGTCCCATTGGATTAGACTTTTGTTTACTTTTCAGTTAAACCAGATGTTAATCTATGACCAACAGTCATTGAATGTCTCCCTCTGTCGTTGTCTTTTTTCATTCATTGTTTTCTTCCTTATTATCGTTGTCAATATTTTGATGTTATAACAACTATCGTTATCGTTTAATATATTTTTTTTAAATAACAAATGGTTGATCAATATTGTAATTTGGAATGCAAGTCAGTTTTGTTCTCCAAATACAAATTAAATGATCCTCAGTTGGTTTTGCTATATTTAGCCACATAATCTCATACTATCCAATTATCTATCTATCCGTCTGTCTTTATACCCATCCATCCGTTAATTATCAATATTAATGGTTATGAAGCTAATTTATTATAAAGCATTAAGTAAATTAACTTACTCGTGCTGGACTTGAAGTCTAATTTTGGGCGTTTGCACTAATGTCATCCGGCTACGTTTCCATGTGAAACACCACTTGACTGCATTTTCTTTGAAAAGCAATTAATACCATTTTACAAAATATGTAAAGATTGTCCCGCAAAGCATCGAATATCCTTAAAATAGAGATGTCACTCATAAGCTCATATATATATACACACACACATATACACACATATATATATACACACATATACACACACACACACATATACACACACACACATATATATATATATCTCGTAAAATATCCAATATATTAATCTAAAGGGACAATTAATTGTCCCTTTAGAACAATAAATTTTGATTTCATCATGCTGGGACTACGTCTGTACACATACTGTGAATAAAGGACTCGGAACTTTTCTCAAACTAAAACTAAGATTTGTTCATCTCATTGAGTCATTAGCGGCTCCCTCGAGCCCTCAAACGCCGATAAACTTTTGCAGTTGGTTTCAGAATTCGCGTGTGATGAAAAACGTTGAAACTCCAACAGCTTCGACGGTTGAGGAACTTTCAACGGTTGTGAACTCAGGAGTGAGACATGTTTGGAGATTCAGGTAAAGTCACAGTTTCTATCAACGAGTGTTATTCTCGGCGTGACAGACGCCCCAAACAAAACATATGTTTCGAAATACTTTTATGCGGCTCTACTTTAGCGTGCTTTGCTTAATTTTATTTAAAATGCAGAGCAGGGACGTTAATTGGCGAGGAAGCGTCAACTGATAACTAACTAGCTAACTTAGCTTGAAATGTAAATTATGTTCATGTCTCGCGTTGAGCATTTGTATTTCTTATTTCTGCATTGACATAAGTAGCTCCAGAAGTCAATTTGTTTTAAAAACAGGAGACATTAGTTAATGTGGATTCGTATGCTAATTCTCAACATTAATGTCATAAAAGTTCAATCAACGTTACGTCAATTAACGTTAACTTTATAAACAGCGGTCGTGTGACCTGCAGCTTGAAATGTATCGTTAGCCAATGCACCTTTATTCGAGGTGTTACGGTACGGGGGCTTATACGGTCCAAAAAGCACCGAGACGGACCCATATTTAAGCAATCGTTTGTCCAATTGGAAATAACTAGTCAAAAACAACATTATTCTGGACATTGTACAGATGAAATAACATTATAACAACATATGAAGTTACACTACTGTACAGTTTTCAACTGAAAGTCAGCTCAAATAAAATAATGATATTATTTTGCAAAATCAGATTGTTATAAGGTTTTATTCTATTCTTTTCACTGGATTCTTGTTCAAGATGAACAACATGTCCATGTCTATTTTAATGATATTTTGCAATACATATTTTGAGAAATTAAAGACAGCTCAAATAAAATGATGGTATTCATAATTTGTGATATTCAATAATATATTTGCAGCAAATCCATGCGGTTATATTCTATGTTCACTGGGTTCTAACTTTACCCACTCTACAGACCAAAGCATTGATGCTGGGGACAGTTCCCTACCCGAGAGCATCAACCCTAATAACTTCCCTGCCAAACTGTGGCGTTTGGTGAATAACCCAGTAAATGAAGCCATCCGCTGGGACAGAAACGGCCTGGTCATCGTCATCGACCAGCGTCTCTTCGAGGAGCAGATCCTGTCACCTAGCAACAGCAGCAGTAGCAGCAGCAGTGCCTTGGACAACAAAGACACTTTCAAAACGACCAACTTCTCCAGCTTTGTCCGTCAGCTCAATCTGTACGGCTTCAAGAAAGCCGATGACAACATGAGAGACTGTTGCCACGAGGACCAGGTGCAGTTTCACTACTTTTACCACGCAAACTTCAAGCGGAACCACCCTGAACTTGTCGCGAGTCTGCGGAGGCTGACGGTCCTCAACAAGGCCAAGATACAAGCCGGTCTGGAGGTGAAAAACAGGGGCCCGAGCAGATACCTGCGATACAGTGATGAAGGCTGGGATAAAGATGTGAAAAGAGGTGTGTCACCGCACAACTGTTAGTAGGGAAAAACCCAATGGAATGGTCATACGTTTCACCGTAGTGTTACACAATACGGGGATTTTTTGCTTCAATATGGCTGTCTGACAAGTTGTTGTCATGCTTTTCTTCTTCCAGAATTTGCGGGTGACTATTCCCTGCTAAGCCACACCCATAAGGAGTCAACTCATCCTTACCCTCCAAACAGAGCTCAGGCCGCGCCGCCTTACTATGGAACCCCAGTCCCACCGCGGTTACCGATGAGGGGTCACGGTGCCGCTCCTTCGTCTAGCGACTTCACTGGAAACAAAGGGATTCCCGTATCTCTGAGCCCAAACTACACTGGAGCCGCCACTAGCTCCAACGCTATGCTCCTTCCGCAGGGTTTACTGGCCTGCTCAAACTGCTGGAATCCAAATTCCCCATACAATGTGCAATATCCGCCTGGCTACTATTGCCCACGTGAGCATGACCATAGCTGACTTGTACGGAGTATGGGTACAACAGTAATAAGCCACATTGTTTACATCACTTCAATTAAATTGTCTCTCGGTATTTTTTTAAAGCTACATTTTAGTTGTAATATATTAAAATATACTATATAGTATACTTAAATATAAGTAAATGTGTATAATTGTAAATCATCTTTTTTGTCCTTCTGAAAGTTTACGCGTGCTACCATCAAAACCTTGTGGCATCACAGATGGCAAGTAGTGGTCTTCAGAACAGTTCCTCCCCTACCCAACGTCACCACCAGGTAGGGAAAATGTACCAGATTCACCCTGTCATGTAACCAACGACTTACACCAGATCTTTGATTGGTCGAGGCAGACGGAGTTTTGTCAACACTGTGTCTTGAAAATGACCTTTTCTTCTGCTGTTCCAGGCGAGATACCGTGGGAATACGTTAAAGAACGAGGAATACCAAGAGGTGAAAAAATGTGACATTAACTTGGACACCATTTTCCAGATTGCAGATGAGGTGATGCAAACTCAGCCCAATAGCAGCCTGATTAGAGCTGTTACACCGGACATGCGAGGCCCCCTGTCAGTGCCGCTCTCCGCCCACAACAACAACCCTGCCAACACCACAAAAGCAAACTATTTCTCTTCTGGAAACATCACTACGTCCAAGATAGACAGCGCTTATCTATTTGCACAGCGGGAGCTATCTGTGAACTCACAACCAGAGGAAATGCTGAAAGATGCCATATTAGAGGTAAGCCAAGACATTGTAGATGGGTGTCGTTCAACTGTTAATTTGCAAATACCTGTACATTATTTGCTGAAGTTTCCTCTGTGCTCTGGCAAGGTTACCATCGATGATGTAAAGGACTGAGGTTCAGAGGTGATCAAGTTAACGACACTCAGTCAGCAAGCGCACGGGAACTGCACCTCATTTTTAAGTAAGATATTATTGAACATTTAGGGAGCATGATTAGAATAAAACCATTGGAAGGAAATATATTTAAAATGTAAATACAAGTTTATTCATAATTGGTTATACTTTTTGTTTTCATGTCAACTTCTTGATTTATTTGGCAGCCAGTCTGCACGATGAGATCTTAAATTCTCAGTATAACGAGACCATATTCTCCATTTTTATTGTGCAACATTTTGTGGATGTTTTGATTGTTTTATTTGTGTGTTTCTTTATTGTTTTTGAATTTGGAAAATCGAATAAGTTTACATAACTCCCATTTCAGTTTGTTTGCCAAAGTAGTAGTAGGTTGATTTAATGGGGAAGAACATATTGAATGAATTGCTTTAAAATAAAAAAAAGATTTGATTTTTTATTGTATGTTTGCTTTGTTTGTAATAGTAACCTGGTGATTGTAGAATTTCACACCTTTTTATTTGTTGCTGCATCGGTTCAAAGGATGTATTTTTTAAAAGTGTAACTGACATGTTTTAAAGGCGAGTGTGTAAAAGTGTTAGAATTAAAGTTAAAAATGTTTCTCATTATTCAGCTGCATGGTGTGTTGTTTACGTGTATTTTCCTAATGTCTTTGATGCTGCACTTGTTGTACTTGCCTGCTTGTTCTGTGCATTGTAACCGCTAGAGGGAGCCGCCGGATCGGTTCTCATGTGCGGGGCTGCCCCGCCCTCACCGCAATGTGGCCTTCAGGTGCTACTCAGGAGCTATTTTGATATTACCGTAACAATTTTTAGATACTCTTAACATCCATGTGTTGGAAACAAACCCTGGAACAGCTGCAGTATTAGAACACTTTATCATCAGACTAGAAATGTACATCCCATTGCGTGTAAACTCTTGACCCAACCGTAACGCTATTTCATCATAAATACCACATTCAAACCATATGCACATGTAATAATATTAACATGGCCCTCGCATTAGTTTTTAAGTAGCTAGGTGTCAAAGATGCAGCCTCTCCCAAACAGATCGTGTCATACACGTGCATCGCTTCAAGAAGAGCCCCAGTCTCCGACAGCACGTGAAGGCAGCAGCGATCAGGTAGAGGGTGTCGGTGGGATCCCAGGGGAGCGACGCGCAGTCCGGGAGGAAGACTTTTAGGACGGTGTCATAACCGCACACGGTGTCTCCTCGCTTTCTCAACTTTAAACGGGCTTCACCGGGAGTTTGGAGTGCTTGTATTTCGTACTTTTTGTAGTGTTTCTAAACGGGATTCGTTGATGGATTTTGACAAACAGTTCATTTTCCCCTCGGGTGTCCTCCGGAGGATCGTCACCCATTTGTCACGGTGCAGCGGAGGCAGTGAGCCGTGTGTTTGAGCGAGAGCGGCTTCTTCCCCGCGGCGAGTTGGATTAAATGAAGACTGCAGGAAAAAAGTCCACGTGTCTGTCAGAGAAGTCGCTTCGTTTTTTTAGACCCAGTACAGCGACTAAGTCATAAGTGAAGCAAGACGGCGGGCCATTCGCTTTGGTTAATAATTAGAGAGAACGGCTGAATTTAACAACTTCTTCAACCATTCTTTTTTTTAAGTGAGGTTGTAAAACAATACATATTTACATTGATATTACTCAACGTTTTGCTGCGCGTCAACATGCCTCTTAACTTTCCAGCAGCAACCTGCAGCTCAGCCTTTGAAGTTCAAGTCGTCCCTCTCTGTTTTTCCGCGTGTGGATTCGTACAGAAAACATAGCGCCCGCGGGGGGGACGCGCTGTCCTCGGCTTCTCCTCTTCGTGTCTTTGTGTTTGGTCGCGAAGGTGTGCGATTCGTAAGGCAAAGTCAACTTGTGTGCACACTGTCACATTCGTACCAGCTCGCATACGGATAAATAAGGACCTGCCCTTCTTCTGGGAGAGAGCGTGCAGCAGCGGAACACGCTACGAACGAGGACATGTGTCCTGTTGTCTGGTGAGGACATGTGTCCTGTTGTCTGGTGAGGACCAGGCTGCTGGAAGCCGTGACACTGGATAAAAGTTATTTTAATAGTTAGCTCGAAAAGGGCAGTTTCTTTTTCTTTTTTGTTCCATGTGGCCGCTGACCGGAGTCTAAGGCACTCGCGCGACGTGCGGAGTTTGAGTATAAACTCTGGTGCTGAATGGACGTTGTGGGACATTCAGCCCCGAGCTATGATGACAGTCCTCCGGCTTTAAAAGTTTGGATTGTATCCGTTTAGCGCTTCGTTGTCGGCGCAGGAGGAGGAAGAAGAAGAAGAAGAAGAAGGAGTGGGACGTGTACACATAAGCGAGGACATAGATATTCTCCTCGGCCGTCTCTCCGCGGTGCTCGCCTGCTTTGAAGTCCACCATGTGCGGCCGGGCACCGCCTCTCCAGCCGAGGCCATGAGCGTCCCGCAGCGGCGCCTGGCCGGGCTCTGGCCGTGGCTGCTGATGGCGGCCCTGCAGGTGGTGCTGGGCCAGCCGGGCCCGGAGTCCGAGCGAGCGGTCATCAAGGTGGAGCTGCTGAACCACGAGTCGGCGGGGAGACCATCACTCTGGAGGGGGTGTTCTGGGAAGAACGCCCGCTACCCGCACCGGAAACTAATGCAGGTAAGACGTACCGGGGCATCCGCACGGCCGCTTCACCTCCGAACATACAGCCGGGGGTCACGGGGGGGGGGGGGGGGGCCCTGTTGTCATAGTTGCACACCTGTGTCACATTTTCTACTGGCTCTGCCGCGAGGAAGTAGCGCCCTCAAAGCTGTCAGGAATGCAATGCCTTGCTCAAAGACACTTACGCAATGTGGATGAGTGGGTGGATGCGAACCTTGTCACGTTGCATCCTTTAGGTCACTCATATACACCCGCATAAGTATATTGCTCTGGTTGCCATTTTGTCCTAATGAAGTCTCACATTGACAATGTGGACTAATAATTTAGAGACAACTGAACGTGAATATGTACGGGAAGAAATATTATAAAACTTTGCCAATAGGAGAAAAATAATTAAAGCGTACGTCTTATCACAATGCTTTCGTGACCATTGGAACAACCGTGATAACACGCTGATTTTGTTGAGGTTAGTTTGTGGTTCCATCGATTTTTCTCACCAGGGGTTCGGTTGAGGTTGCCAACCTTTCAGACGACAGCTATTCCTGGCATCCAATCTTCTAACTCTCCAAGTTTAATATTAAAGTGTGGTCGCAGACTATTAAACAACTCATTCAAATCCTGTATAGACTCATGCAAACTTACAATTGAAGCAAAAAAAAGCGTCAATTTATTTAGCTTCTCCTGAGATAGGATTTACTGCAGGATCTTGTCTCTTCTCACTCACTGTGCGTGGGAGGGTTTTGTGAATGGAGGCCCAGATTTATACAGCTTCTCCACAGAGAAAGCCCGGTTTCAAACACTGCGAACAGCCGCCGGTGTTTTTCCCCCTCCAGTTAAAGCTGACGTGTCCGTGGAGGATGTTGACACCATGTTATGGATGCTTATCACAGCGCAGGTGAGATCAAACGCTCATTTCAGCTCCCTTTTATTTTATTTTTGTCTTCCCCGTAAAACATTTTTTTACTATTCCATGTGCTGGAGAGGTAATACAACAAAAGTTATTAACCCCGGTGGATCTGGGCAGAGAGCTTCAGGAAGACACTGTGAAGGAAAGCACGTGGAGGACAGAGACTGTTGAAGTGATATCTGCCTGCAGTGTGAAGAAATGTGCACAGGTGCTGTTTGTAGTTGTTTCCTCCGAGTCGGGCAAGTCATTGTGGTTCCGTCCGAGGTTAAGAAGGGACTGCTTTCCAGGCCGTTCCCACAGTGCACAGAGGACGTGTTGTGCTGCAGGATGCTCTTTGTTGCAGCTTAGGCCTGTTCCAACAGGTCCTCTCTGCCCCGCAGGCCGCTTTATGGCCCCGTTCTCCTCTCCCAGCGGACGGGTGCGCTCCACTGATTGATTTCCTGCCTCGAATGTCCTCATTAATTCTTAAATTGCCCCGCTGTCTTTAAGAGAGTTCACCCCCGAATCAAAAATATTTTTTTTATAGATTAATATATTTTTTCCTTTTACCTGCAGTGTTATTCATTCATCAATATTGATTTTATACATTCAGTAGTGCCAATAATTGATTTCTTTGCAGTTGATTTCTACTGCAAAAACTGCATTTGGCATTCGAAGTTAAACAGGAATACAGCATTTTCAATAAGCTAAAAGCAGTGTAACTTGTAGCCTTTCTCCCGATACTCTCGTTTTGAATCGACAGAAATGGTTTGATCTCCTTTATAAATCATCAGATCCTGTTGTGACCATGTTTGCTAACACATCTGAGGGCCACACTCCGAGGGCCTGGGATGAAAGGAATTGCCAATTTTCTCCTGAAAGTCATGAGACTTTGCTTTAGTACACATCACCCTCTGATCTGTTAAACTGCGTTCTCCCTGGAAGAGTGCCCTGTCCTCTGAATGAACACGTTCATTAGAACACTGGCTGGGGTCCTGCCAGCGCTTTTGGACAAAAAAAGTGCTGAGGAATCCCCCCCCCTTTCTCCTTTCCAAAACGCTTGCATTATGACCAGAGGAAAAGTGCAAAGGCTTCTGGGATAACTTTGAACTTGAGAGGACTTTCAACTGTCCTCTGTTGAGAGTTGACGTTTATCCTCCAATGGGCATTGAGCCACAAAGAACATCATAAGGGCTCCGCCTCTTTTTTTCTTTGCTTAAATCCATCTTGACTCTCTTTTCATCCTTGCGCTGTATTTTTTTAGTCTTTTGTACCTTGAAATGTTGAATTGACCTTTTTTGAGAGTTTCCTTAAATACATCCGCTATAGTCAAGGCAGGGCAGGCAATTGACTGAACGCCAGTTAACTCACCACTTCACCACCAGTGCACCACTTCACATTCCTCCGTCTCCATCTCAACGTGTCCCAAAAGGTACAGAGTGACTCCCCGTTTCAACCCGTCTGATGCCGGTATCTGCGCGTTTCGCCACGGCCCGTTTGGGAGCGAGAGATGGGAGGGCGGAGGCGGCGCCGAGGGAGAAACATCAAAGTGCGTCCAGTTCAGAACGTGAGCCGGACCGATTAAGAAACCAAAGCT